AGTGTTGTTAGCGCCTGTCAAATCAACCTCTGGTCTGGGTGCTTTCACAGATCACACATTGCCTGATCTTTAGCCAGCACCATAGTTGGTTGAGGGTCTGATCATAGGGTTTTCATTAGGCTGTTTTTGAATTAACATCTTAGTCTGAAAGCTTCACTTAGTAAAGCCTCCACTGACAGAGGGTGATGAACATCCTAATAATCTGCCTAAAGTACGTGGGATGAATTTACTCTATCTTTGCGTCCAAGGAGCACCCTGATTGTACTCCCTCCAGGATAGACTTGGTTATTCTTTTGGCAGTCCATCTGATATTCTGTACTCTTCTCCAATACCAGAATTCAGAGGCATCAATTCTTCTTTCCTCCTTATTCTTTGCCCAGCTTTCAGATGCACAGCAAATAATTGAGATCTCTCCCATGGAGGGTGAAAATTCCAGCACTGAACAACCACTGCCTTGTGCTCCAACGTGCTGGCACACAACAATCTACGTGTGAATTAGTTATAATCTTATTGTCCCTTTCTCAGAGGCCTTTACCTTAGTTCTCTGAAAGGTCCCTCTCAGTTACTTACTATAATTTCATACTGTGTTATTCTCTTCACAACATTGTATTATTATCTGGATTTATCTTCTTATCTATTTGGGTTGTTTATGCTTTCTTTGCTTCTATGAGTATGTAAGATTCATATGAACTGAACTTGCACCTCTTGGATCATAATAGATGTTCAGTACATATTTAATTGTATTGCTGGATTTTCCCAAAATCTCTGAAGTGGATAATTGTATTATCACTGTTCTATGGATGTGCAAAATGAGGCATTGCATTGGCACAGGGTCATGCAACTGGCATATATCAAACCTGACACTGAAACCCAGTTTGCTTGAAAAGCCTGCTTAATAACTACTATTGGCTTTACTGAATTGGTTCTTTTTATGCAAAAATTCTGTGCAACCAGGTAGTAAAATGCCACATTTTGTCCATTTTCTCCTAACTTCTCAGTTAAAGCAAAAATTTTCATTAGAATTTGGAAAATGAGACAATGATCCAGTCTTCACTCTTCTCCAGAGGTCTACCATGGCACTTCTTCATCCTCATCCCACTCAATTCCCACCCAACCCAAAACCAATCCCATCATCCACATCTTCATATTCATCCAATCCCATTGTCATTCATTCCCACTTGATTTGCTTCTTCTGTTCTCGACCTCACCCCTATCTCAGGCTTGGGTTGGACTGTGTCTCCAGATCTGAGACCAACATCTATGTCTTAGGTTAGAATAAGTTTGTTTTCTTTCACCCTATCCATATCACAATCCTTCTGAGTCATTCTTCTTCCCCAGTTCCCTTCTTCTGGGACATTTTTTCAGCTGCTCTTGTTTACAAGTTATTCAGGGTCTAGCCGCTTTCCTCATCTGTTGTCCTGCTAATGACCTCATCTTCTCAACCCAGTGGCAACTCGCCCAGTGACTGCTTGACCTTGACTTCAAGTCTACTCCCAAGGATAAATAGTTGCTAAAAACAAAATCAAGGAAACCACACCCCATTGTCACTGAGTAGATCCTAACCCTTCATAGCCTAGTGGAGCAGAATAGGATTACCCCAGTCTTCAAGTCTGAAATCTTCACAGAAATTGATGGCCACACCTTTCCCATGGAATGGCTGTGGAGCTGTGAGCATGTAACCACTGTGCCGTGAGGACTCCTTGGAAACAGTCCTTGCTGTTGTTAGGTGCCATCAAGTCGACTACAGCTCACAGTGGCCCTATGAACAGTGATTCTGAACACTGTCCTATCCTGTGCCATTCTCATCATCTCTTATATACTTGAGCTCATTGCTATAGTCACTCCATCTATCAAGTGTCATTCACCAGGTGTCAATCCATCCTGTTGAGGGGCATCCCCTCCTTTTTCTAAGAACTGAGTCTTCCTAACAGCATGCCAAAGTATCTGAGACAAATGTTCACCATTCTTGCCTATAAGGAGCACGCTGGTCCCTCTTTCTCCCACACATATTTGTTTGTTCTTTTGGCAGTCCATGGGATAGTCAACACTTCTCCAACACTACAACACAAATCCGTTGATTCTTCTGTCTTATTCATTATCCAACTTTCATATGTGTAGCAAGTAATTGAAGAGACCATGGCTTGGACCAGGTGCACTTTGACATTTAAGCCGACCTCTTTGGAGAGGTCCTTGATAGCAGATTTTCCCAGTGCAACATCATGTCTTTTAATTTCTTGGCTGGTGGTACCAATTTATAGTGTCCTAGAAAAAGGTGGACCAGACAAGTGACACTTCGACCTTCTCTGCAGGTGCTTTGCTTTTCTCACAGACTTACTGGGACTGTGAGCAGGGTTTGACAAAGCTTCAAGATTTTATGCATATATAAGGCTGATGTCTAGAGCTCGGCTTAGGGGTGAGACAAGAACTGAGGATTGCTTCAGTGATCACGGAGTCTTCAGAAGACGCTCACTCAGACTCTATCTAGCATTGTGGGGAGAGCAGGGCCGAGGATGAGGCAGCATATTAGTGACATTCTGTATTCTAGCAAAGATAGGTAAATTAAAGTGAGGAAGATAAATAGCTTGAAGTCTTTAGAAAGAAATAAGGGTGGCACTGAAGAGCCAGGTCTGGGGATAAAACTTAGGCTGAGTTTTAAAACAAACAAAGAACACCAACCCTCAAAGTTATCGCTGTCAAGTCAAAATAGATTTATAGTTGACTTCCCAGTGGGTTTTCAGAGGCTGTAAATCATATGAGAGGAAATTGCCCATATTTCTCTCATAGAGCTGCTGGTGGACTTAAACTTCCAGAGAGATGCCACCTTTGGGTTAGCAGGACAGACAACTCCCTATTCACTAGGCCAGGAGAGATTCCTTGGGCCTTAAGGGACCAGAATTTAGGTTTGATGGTGGTTTGTAAGAGCGAGGAGGTCTGGAGCCTTTAGGCATGATGCTGTTAGTAAATAAGTAGATTAATAACTCACACATTACATTCATGTAGCCTCATACAGTTTTTTTCTATATAATTGCCTGGAGTTTTGCCGTTATCTTCATTTCCAATATCTATACATTTTAATGTATAAGGAAATAGGCTCAGAGAGGTTAAATTATTGTCTTCAGTATCTTGTTAGGAGTAAAGCTGATCTAAGAATACAGGTAGATCTCTAGCCTCCTACACAAGTGTTCCTCCAGTTCTGTCAGACACAGATGTTTTCTACATAGAGGGCTGGAACCCAGAGATATTTGACCTGGCTAAAATGGTAAGACCAATTAGGGGAAAAAATCTAGTACAGGGATGTGGAAATACCTGGCACTCTTTTGTCCTAGGTCCTACTGGCCAGGAACTCTATGATTCAATCATTCCTCTCCTGGGTATATAACCAAGAGAAATGAGCCCATTAAGTTCACCAAACGTCAAGGGCAGGGAAGAACTATGCAAAAGGAATATATGATTAGGCATTTTATGTATGACAACAATCTGAAACAAGGGGCACATTGTGGGGTGGGCTGGTGGGAAGGGAGAAAGGGAAGAAATGTGCAACCATGAATTTTAAAATAATAAGAAAAAAACCACAAAGACAAGAATTTTCTTAATGGCTTTATTTATAAATCAACAAAAATTAAAAACAAGTCAACAATGACCTGAATGGATAAATAAACAATATTTCCATCTATGCAATGGAATACTTCTTGGCAGTTAAAAAGGAGCAAATTATTCATACACATACCACATTCACGAATCACAAAGGCACTACGCTGAGTGAAAACAGTCAGCCTCAACTGAAAGAGTGCATATAATACATTCAGTGCTAAGCCATCTCTTGCTGAAAATTAAAAAAGTGCTCCAGTAAGTAAATTTTTTGAAAATAATACATTTGGTGTGATCAAAACTAACCCACAGTGATAGAAATCAGATCAGCAGCTGCTTCTGGAGAAGACTGATTGGGGAGAGGAGCAAGAGAATTTTCTGGCATTTGGGAAATTTCCATATCTTGACCTAAGTGATGGTAACATACAGAGTTAGTTGCTATAAGATTTGTATGTTTTACCCTATATAAATTATTTCTCGATTTTAAAATGTTAAAGCTCAACTTTTTTAGGAAAGAGTCAGCTGGAGATGAAAAGGGTAGGTAAAGTCTTGAACAGAATCTGGATGTGAGCTCCTGATTGGGAAACATGTAAGGCGTCCTGATTTATCCAGAAGCAAAGAATTTCCTAGGACGTAAGACTTTTGACACTAAACCAGCAGAATCCTTGGCAAACTGAAGTGCTGATTATGCACCTCCTGCAGAAACAGTCACTGGGGGAAGTGTTTGGACATATGGCAGAAGTTGATGTCTTGGTCCCAGGGCCTGGGGATTGCTCCGGAGCATTCAGTGAAGGCCGGATGCAGGCACTGCTTGTTGGCACCAGGAATGTTAGGGCTGGGGAGGCATCTTTGTTCTTTGGTACCTTCTAGGTCACTGACCCTCTAGAAGCAGGAAAGCGTAGGCTGGGTGGGGCCTGCTCCTTGTTGGAGCTGGAAATAGAAAGCCTCCAGCTGAGGTGAGGCTGTCCAGGGACGAAGCAATCACAGCTTCCAGGCTAAGCTCCAAGGAGATTCTCTCTCTAGGCCTTTTCTTCATGTTCAGTACTGCATCTTGCCCTCCCTCAAATGCCTCAGCCAAGAAAACTAGGCCAAAGATACAGAACTATTCTGTGGAAGTATAACTGAAGCTTGGGACCCTACTAGAGGCAAGTGCTATTATATCTCTTTGCCTTCTTCATGTGAGCGTCTCTGCAGTCACAGGGACTGTAATGTCCTCTCTTGTCTGCCACAAACTGCCACTGCTTGAACCAGAGGGTTTCCTCTGCCTTCTCAGAGAAATGTGGGACAGAGGGGCAATGACAGATGGCCTCTCCAGCTGGAGGACGAGGCAGACATGACAGAGGAGTTGCTGGTGAGTCTGGGCAACTTTGGTCTGTAGAAGAAGGTGAGGAGGGGCTGGAAAGAGGGCAGGTTCAGAAGTTCTCATAGTGGTGCATGAAATGGGCCCGGTCCTGCTGGTTGAGGAGCTGACAGGCCTTTTCAACGTTCTTGGTCATTCCTGGAGGGCCACAGCTGAACACCCCAATCTTTCGCACCTGCCGGGTGTGGGAAGTGGTTGGCGAGCTTAGAAGAATCCTGCAGGCTTTGAGACACTCACTCCCCAGGCAGAAGTTTCTCAAGCCTGGCTGGAGTGATCACCCACAGGCCCTAGGGAAGCTGCTTGAGCTATGTATGGGGCCTTCACTGAAGCCTCCCTCCTCCACTGTCCCAAAGGCAGGAGTCCCAGGGTGGATAGGAACAGGGCTGACCTGGGGGTGGACCTCTTGCAGGGAGTTGAAGAAGAGCTCAAAGGGGGGACGGCCAAAGTGGGTGATAGAGCGCAGACCCGTGAACAGACTGCGGTTCAGCACCTTTTGGAAGTGCCGCTCACAGATGTACTGTGGGGGAAGGAGAGAAGGGGCCATTTGTCAGAGCCAGGACCAGCATCCAGCCCAGACCGTGGCCAGCCCACCTGCCTGGCTGGCCCTGACATACCAGCATGGTGGTCCTGAGGTCGAACTTCTCTGCCAGCTGGGTGATGTAGATGTGCACTGACACCAGGTCCTGCCGATCATTCTCCTCCACCTCCCGGATGATGTCAGCCAGCCACTCGAACTGCCGCTGGGTCCGTGTCACCCAGATGAAGTAGATCTGGAATGCATGGGTTGAGCCTGGGACCCAGCTCTACTCAAAGTCCTTCTACCTAAAGTACATTCAGCTGAGAGGTTGGGAAACCCTACGTCACCCACACATTCCAAGCCTCTGGCCGGACCCACGTGGCTGATGCACGGTTTCGAAGAGATCCCAGCAGAAGCCCTCTAACTATGCCCCTTCCTGCCCTTGAGCACTGGTCTCAGGACAACTGGATACGAGCGGTCTTGGAGGGCCTGCCATGAGGGAGCAAGGCTTCCCTAATGTTACTAAGACCACCTATCCTCAATTATTTGAAGAATGGGAGAGGCACGCTCACCTTTTTACAGAGCATTTGGCTGCCCAAGGATGACTTGAAGACCAGGTCTTTGAGGATGGAGGCAAAGGGGGTGACACCGATGCCCCCTCCCACCAGCACTGACACCTCAAACTGATGCCACTCCTGGTGGCCCTCTCCAAATGGTCCATCGAGGTACAGCTGTCAAGAGAAGGAAGGGATAAGATGTGCCAGCCATGCCCCAGTCCTGACACCAGAATGGAGGGGACGTGGAGAGGAAGGATACGGAGGCTTTCCAGTCTCTTCTGAGGCACCCTTCTCTCTTCCAGCCTGGCCTTGGGGTGACAGGAGGCTGGGGAGAGAACAGTAGTGGGATTCCCAGGGATGGCACCTTTGGGTATCTGGCTCTGTCATCACCAGTCGGGGATGCGTAGATCTCCCTGAGACGAATGGTCCAGGGCCCTGCTGCTCGGATGTGCAGGCTGAGCGTGTCCTCATGGGGTGCAGAGGTGAGTGTAAAGGGGTGGTACTCGGTGGTCCCCAGGGCCAGGCAAGCGATCCGCACCCACTGCCCTGACTTGTACTCAAAACTTTGGGGCCTCTGGAACTGTAGGTGAGTCACACCTGGGGGTTACAGACAGGGAAGGGCACAGATAAAAGAGGTATCTTGTGATACCGGAAGATTGACAGGTACACCATCCTCTCTGCCCATCTGAGGCATAAGGAAGTGAATCCACAGTCTGAGCAAGTGAGGTTCCTACAGCTGGGGGCCAGGAAGGCTCTGCTCCTCTGTGTCTGGGTAACCCAGAGGCTGAACTTTTTGTTCTTTTCTAGCTCTCTTCTTCTCTCTGGCCTCCTGTCCCCTGTAGGGTCCAGGTCCCATAGCTCTGCTCTGGATATCAACCTGTGGGTGCCAGGACTTCAACCTTCCCACAGATTCCTCGGGGCCATTCTGTGTTTACCAAACTTTCATGGTTTAAGGGTGTGATTTGGGCCATATCTGCACAACTCTTATAATGTTACTTCTCTAATGTGCTTTAAATTGGCTTGATTTGTCAACTAAATTTATCTTGAGAGGAACTTCTGATTACTGAGGTAAGTAGAAAATGAATGCAAATTCAGTCATATGTACTTGGAATAGAAGACAACACATTTTTTTCTGTTATCAAGTTTTAACTGTGTACTGTTTATTGACTAATCACTGCTGAGCCTCAGGCTTACAATCTGTTGATAAAAGAGATTACCAAGTGCTGGAGGGTGCAAAAGGCAAACACCACTCTAAAGCTTTGTCCTTAAGGCATTCTTGATTGAAATAACATTTAAATGAGGTTTACTGTCTTATAATGGGAGTCTTAAAAGTTAGAGGCTCCAGTGACACCTAACCAGTCCCTGAGCCCTGCAAACATTCCTGCACTCTGCTGCTAACCCAAAGACTGACGGTTTGAAACCAGTCAAAGGCAGAGGGGAAGAAAGGCCTGGCCGCTCACTGCTGAACACTTGGCATTTGAAAACCCAGTGGAACAGTTTTATTCTTGACACACATGGCATCATCATGAGTCAAAGACGGCTCCAAGGAGACATCTAAACTGACCTTCCACCCTCCATAGTGGCACAAGCCTCTGTGTTGGCCAGCACTGGTCTAACTCTGAAGTGGGCTATTCTGAGAAAAGGCTAAGATAAAGATATCAGATGGTTTCTCTGGAAACTCTGATGGCCTAATGGTAAGAAGTTGCCCTGCCAACCCAAAACCAAGTGGTTCAAATTCACCAGCTGCTCTGTAGGACAAAGATGGGCAGTGTCCTCCCATACAAGTTACAGCCTTTGAAAACCTGCTGGAGGGTCAGTTATGAGGTCTCCTGCCCATAACAACAATGACATATGTTTCTCTGTTCTGGACTCCAGGTCACAGAGGTGGGGGGGGGGTGGTCCTTAATATCCTCAAATTCCTCTCTGTACTTTCAGCTACCTCTCCTCAAAGTCACTGCTCCACGTCTGCAAGCACTTGCTCGGGGCTAAGCACAGGCCTTTCAGTGGCTGCATTTCCATCAGGAAAGCAGTTAGAGGCATCTCCCCAAGTAGACCTCCAGCACTCCCCACCTCATTCTCACCCAGGGTCAGGCTTGACCTGGTACCTGAAGGCAGAAGCTCGGCCTTCATCACACTGATCTCCACCTTCTTCCGGCTCAGGCTCATCAGCTTGTCTGCCCCATAGATGAGTGCCGGGGCGAGGAAGAAGAGATGGAAACGGGGCGTCTGAATCAGGGCGAAGCTGCCATGGATGATGAGCTGGAGAAACAAGCAGTTAGTACAGCTCAGACTTTTCCACAAACCTCCCTACATGATCCCCCTTATCCAGACGCTCTGGACAGAGGGGATAGGACTGGCACAGGCTCCAGAGTCCGTGACCTCAGCCACAGCTGAAATTGTGGAGCTTGGTCCAGTTAGCCTCTCCTCTCAGCTTAAGCATGTATCCCTGTCCCATGGCCAAACAGCCAGGAGAAATCCTCACCAGGATGTAGAGCAGGATGTAGAGGTGGTGGGTCAGCCAGAAGCCCCGGAAGCTGCGGCGGCGGAAGTGGTGGGAGGCGAACACATACATGATGGCCAGCACCACAAGCAGGAACACCCCTGTCAAACCTGGGTCGATTGAGAAGAAAACAGCATCAATGAGAGAATCTCTACCTGGACTGAAAAAACAATTCCCTCCCTTCTACCCACCTCCCTGTCCTCTTTGGTCGCTCTCAGCCACCAGGACAGTTTGCTAGAGGGGCTAGAACTGGGACTTTCCCTGAGGGCTAGAAAGGAAGCCCCAGGCTCCCACAGTAAGTATGGATCACCAGAGGGGTGCAGAAGTCTTCCAACAAACAGGGTCCCCAGGTTCCCCAGCAAGCCAGTGTCATCCCTACCTGGGACTGTCTGGAAGAACCACCAGTAGAACTTCTGGGGAAGCTGGGACCTAGGAGGCAAGTGCACACTGAGCCTCTGGCCTGAGCAAGAAGGGCTCCACCACGGCCCCACCATATGTGACTCTGCCCCCACCAGACTTGACTGCCGGGGTTCCCGAGATCACGAAATGTCCTGCACCCTACAGCCAATGATCCTTCCCTAGAACATAGCACCCAGCCGCCTGCAATTCTGCCCTCTGCCTTCTCAACACCTTTCCCCTCCGGTATACCCCTGAACTCTCTCACTGGAGTTGACTTCTGTCTCCTTGAATGCTTGATTCATTATTCTGTAAGCTCCACGAAGGCAAGGATCTGTGCTTTGTGCAATTTTTATCATTATGCTTATCACAATATCCATAGGAAATGCTCAATACTTGTTGAATGACTGAACATATCTTGACATTTGAGCTCTTTACCACCAACGAGGACATATGAGACATTCTCCCTACATATCTGCCCCATGGTTAGTGGGCTGAGTTGGCAAGCCATGTGTGGGAGAATCTCCAACATCATTTCCCAGAGACCTTTGCTGGCAAATCACTGTTGCTCCCATCCCAGCAGCAAGGGAGTCACCTGTCAGCTTTCCCAAGGAAGACTGTGCTCAGGGATGGAGCTGAGCTTCCAAGGGCCATCTTGCTCCTTTTTATTACCCTGTTAAATCCACTCCCAGTTGCCTCAAGAGAATTCTTCCCCAGAACTGACCCATCATTGATAAAAACGCTGGGAAAGATGCAGGACAGCAGGCTAAGAGGACTGACGGAGAAGATGTAGACGTTGACTACGTGGCCAGCACTGTGTAAAACTGGGAGAGACAGATCCTGTTAGAAGTGCCAGACAGGGTCAGTCAGCTCTACCTCCAACCCAGAGAGGCGGCAGATAGAGGGGAGACGGAGGTGTCTGCAGCGCCATTCTCCTCACTATCTCCCCACAGTCACACCAGGCAGCTGGACGAGCTTGGTCGGGAATGTCCACGAGTCACATACTGGCCAAGATAACAGCAGCCATGGCAATCCAGCGGTGGAAGTCCACGGCGGCATCGAAGGGGATGTAGCGGTTGAGGAAGGTCTCCCGCAGGAAGGTGATGAGGTTACGGCACATGGTGAGTAGGATGTAAGAGAACATGAAGGAGACGCTGGCCGCCGTGCCCCGAGACAGGATGATGCCCACAAAAGTCGTCTGTGAAATGCCTGAGGACGGCGAGGTAAAGGAGTAATCTGTGGAGAGAGTGGGGTGGGTCAGCGTGGTACAAGGGCTGGGTGTCAACATGTCTTGGACTCCGAGCAAAGAATAGCAACCTGCGGGCTCGCCACATCTAACCCCACCTCGGTCCCCACCACCCACCACCCGGCACCCTTACAGTAAGCTCGCTCCGCAAACAGGCCTGCGCAGATGGCTGAGAAGACGATGACGCACACCATGTGCCGCCGGTAGTTCTCCACGAAGCGCTTGTACTGCAGCAGCTTCTGGGCCAGGAAGCCCCGCTGCGTCTTCTCCTGCAGCGCTTCCGTGTACAGTCGAGCAGAAGGCGTCGCTGCCCTGCAGCAATGGGAGACAGGTGGGCAGGAGTCAGGGCACCAGCCTCACCCAAAGGCTAGGCCATTAAAGGAGACTTGGTGGCCTGGCAGGGGTCAAGATGGTCATTCGAACAAAGAGGAAAAGCATTGTGAGTCTGACTTCCACCCTCCCAGTTCTCCACCTCTCATATGTACTTCCTTCAGCCACCCAGTTTTCCATCTCTCCATTGCTGTATCTCTTCCTCTTCCTGTTCACTCTGTCCTTCCCTCCCCCACTCTCTGCTCAGGCCTCACTGTTCTGCCCAGAGCAGGTAGAAGCCAGGACATCCCTCACTACCACCTTCGTGTTGCTTCTGAGTGCAAGACCCCTGGCCCAAAGATGGTGTACAGAGTTCAAGAGTCATTTGGCTATATCACTCCCCCTGATCAGATCAGGGACAAACACCATGAGTTACAGATGGTCCCTTGTGTAGCAAGAAGGTGTGGGTAACAATCAGAAACCCTGAGACCTGAGACTTCTCATCTGTAGCTGGGCCCAGAGATCTCAGAAACTTACTTTTTGCCAAACCTCTTCTTCAGCCCAGGGCCTCCCAGCTCTGGAGCTTCTGAGGTAGGGAGCTCTGGTCCATTGATGCAGGAGCTGAGACAAAATCACAGCAGAGCAGAGTCAATGAATAAACTCTGTTCTGTGTTGTAGCGTAATTCTGGCATAGAGGGCCAGGGAGAGAGTTGGCTCTTAGGCAGTATGGGGTATGAGAGGCAGCTGCAATTAGCACTAAGTCTGCTTTCAGAGCACCAATATCTGACCCCCAGAACTCATTCATCAGCCCCATGTCCCTCATTTATTTGCAGGTGGATGGCCTGTCCAAGGGGACCTCCTAACGCCTCATGCCAGCTCACCGTTTCTGAGGAGTCCGGGTGATGAATGAGACTCGACTAATTTTTTGTTTAAAAACGTCTTTAACACCTGGAAAGGAGAACAAGAAGCTGGACAGGCTTCCCCACCAGGGCAGTGAGGTGGAGAAGGGTGGCAGACTAACCCTTTGCCTTGCACCTCCAGAAGGACTCCCAGGACACTTGCCAGTGCTTCTGGACAGATGTAACCATACAAGACCAGGCATGGTCTTTGCATAAGGAATATAGCATCTCTTCTTCTGAGCAGAGTCTCCCCACACTGGTGTTCATGGTGTGATGAGCAGCATGTCATTGGCTGGGTTTCAGTTCACCTCTGACCCCTCAGTTGACAGCTTTGTGCAGTGCACAAGTTATACACTTGTCTGTGGAGCCCCTGATTACACATGCCTGGTTCTATACTAGGCCCTGAGGACTTGTAGGACAATCAGGTCTGGGTCCTGTCCACCAGGTACTCTCGTTTTGATGACACATCCTTTCCTGATTCCCAGTATTCCTTGCATGTTCACACACCTCCACCTCCACCTTTGACGCAGAGCTGTGTGAAGCGGAGCTCGCTGTCGTGGTCCCGCAGCATGAAGTGGAAGTCCTCCCATGTCAGCTCCTCCTTGTCCTGGAAGCCTGACTCCCGGAACATGGACTCCACCACCTCGGCCAGCTGGTCCTTAGTCAGACAGTTGTTATAGATCTCGATGAAGGACCTGGAAGGAGATCAGAGACAGAGTAGCCTGTCACCAGTGAGGTCAGGCAGGTGCAGGGTGGGGCAGGCCCCAGGTTATTTCATGTGGTCACCAGTGACCCAGGAAATGGCACTGACAAGGTGCTCATCTAGCCTGCATCTGACACTAAGCTGGGTGGGGTGCCACAAGCCCAGGACTAGAAGAGAATTGAAAGTGACCTTGACCAAGTGCAGAAAGCAGCCCTCAGACATGAGAGACTGTTGCCAAGACAAATGTTCACCAAGTATTGGGACACGTCCAGGGTATGCCCTCCCTCTCTTTCAGGCAGGTTCTCTGCCCAGTCTCTTCTGCTGATGCTCCCACACCATCCTTGGACTCGCACTTGCACAGTCAGGTTGGATTATGAGACTATAAGAGTGGGGAAGTGATGTAACTGCAATGCCACTGCTTCCTGGTGCAGACATCCTGGACTATAGTCAGGAATGTCTCCACACCCTATGTGACAGTGCCCCGGTAGCAGCTGCAGTGGCTAACCTCTTCTTGGACTGCATTTTGGATCACAAACAAACAAATCGTGCAAGTCTATAAAGCTCAGCAGGGGGAACAAAACCCCCAATCTGTAGGGCATGTCAGGTACATCACATTTCTAAAAATTAACCTAATGAAATAAAGCAAGACTCACAATAGTCAACTTTGTCCTGACTCCTACATAAGGTCATGTCCACTGTGGGCGTCTGAACTCTAAAGAAGAGGAACATAGCACTGAAGAATGCTTAAAAGAAGGGAGCTTTGGTGGCCTAGTGGCAAGAAGCTACACTGTAATCCCAAAGGTACGTAGTTTGAATTCACCAGATGCTCTGCTGGAGAAGGAGGGGCAATCTCCTCCTGTACCAGTCAGATCTGATTTGATGATAGACACAAAAAATAATAAAATTTTTAAAAACTTAAAAAAGAATGCAAAACAATGGAACTTATGTTCCAAATTATGTTTATGGAAAAAAAATGTTTCAAAGATCTGCCATATTTCATTAACTATTATTTTGTTCTTGCTCATCTCATTTTATCCTCATCAGTAACTATGTATTGATTTCCAACTGTGTCCCGAGCACAGTGCAGAATAGAGCAGATTCTGCGAAGAACAAAGAGAGATAGGAACCCTATCTATTCATGTGGGTTGTGTGACTGAGTGTTGTTTTCAGGAACACAAAGCCTGATGTTCAAAGTTGACCTTTATTGAAATATCAAAAACAAATAATTTAAGAATTAAGGAGAAAAAAGGATTGGACTATAGAGGTTTCTCCTCATTCATCCTGGATTCATTCATCTGTCCATCCATCCATCCTTTTATTATGCAAAACAAACACATGTAAAACACAGTGTTGTTATTGTTGTTGTTATGTGCCATCCAGTCCTTGTAAAAAGAGTTTACGAAGACCCAAAGACATACAAAAGGGATTAATAGACTTTGCTGTTGGTTGTGTTGGTGGGGTTTTTTAATTTTTAAAATGATGGTGGGTTCTGCAGTTTTGACAATACTGATATAAACTTCCTGCAGGCAACATCTGGCTAAGATATTTTTGAAACTGGATACTCTGAGAATCTAGGCTGTAGTATAAAACCCCTGTCTCTCACTGCAGAAGGCCACATTGCCTCTTCATTTACCCTCCTCAGATCTGACCTATTTTCCTGCTTAGAACAACAGGAAGCCTCAAGTATAACTGAAACACAGGGTCAGTGGGTTTTCAGACAGTATAAAATCACATGGCAGGAGATTGCTCCCTTTTCTCCTGTGGAGTGGCTGCTGGATTTGAACTGTCCATCTCTGGATTGCCAGTGCAACTTCCTACGTACTAGGCCACCACAAGTCCAGTGTCCCATGTCTGGCTCACTCCATACCTCATCATGGTGAAGAATTCATCCTTGGAGAGGAAGCCATTCTCATCAAGGTCGTACATGGTAAACATCAAGCGAGACTTATCTTCTGGCGTCCCTGAGGACAGAGAGGAGAATGTAGCTAGTTCCCTGCCAAAAGACATTTTTGTCCTTTGGATAGCCTGCCATCCCATAACACTCACCTTTCATGAAGACCACCAGGATGTCCAGGAACTCCCGGAAGGACAGGTAGCCGTTGCCATCCTTGTCGGCCAGAGAGAACATGGACTCCACAAACATGTCCTGTGGCTTGAGGCCAAGAGACTCAGCAAACTCAGCTCTGCTCAGCTCACACGTCAGGGCCTCTCGAACCTTCTGTGAGGAGTCCAGGGGCAAAGTCCCTGCATCTGTCTGGTCAATGTCTAGTACCTATATTCAAGCAGTGGAAGAGAGAAAGTGGTGAGAGCTGGATTGGAAGCAGTTCAGTGATTCCTCACATCTCCACAAATCCGAATGAGAAAGGTCGAACCCTGGTGGCTACTCTTGGTCCTTAAACAAACTCGGGCCTCTACTTTCCTGCAGAAAGGGTGAATCAAATCTTTAGCAGCTCACTCATTTTGTCCTGAACCCAAGAATCATGAACCTGAAAGTGAAGATGCTGCTATCTATAGTGAGGATTTAGGGTGTGGACAAAATTGGGGAATGCAAAGAGAACGTATTAAGGAGGGAAGACATAGTAGACATTGTGGACCAGCAGGAAAAGACCAATCCAGGTATCTGCCATGTGCTTATTATTTGTTCTCTGCCTGTTATGTGGATTTTTAAAAGTCATATAACTTACAAACATACAAGTTTATACAGAGCAGTGTTTTTCAGACTTGAGCCAGCATCAGAACTCCCGGGAGGGCTTCCTAAAACACACATTCATAGCCAGAACATAGAAACAGCTCAAATGCCCAATGATAGCGCGCAGGAGCAAGGATTTTATAAATTACTACCTAACATGAGAGGGACTGGAGAGAATTATGCTAAGTGAACTAACTCAGTCTCATAAAGACAAATACTGAATCTACCAGATGCTCCGCTGGAGAAAGAGGGGCAATCTCCTCCTGTGCCAGTCGGACCCGATTTGACGGTACATAACAAGGAAGGGGGAAGACGAATACTGTACAGGACCATTATTGTAGAGCATATATGAGCATCCAAGAAGGGGAGGGAAGAAGGCTTAAACAAAGGGTCGCACAATTTGATGGGTGGAGGGAGCAATTGGCAAAGGAAAGGGGAAATGTTCTGTATGAAAAACAATGTATATAACATTACGACCTTTGTATTTAAACCAATATAAAATAACTTTTTTTTTTTCAAAACAACACACATTCCTGGACGTCATCCCAAGATTTACGGATTCAATATGTCTTGGAAGAAGCTCATGAATATGCATTTCAAGCAAAGTCCCAGGTGAAGCTTCTACTACAGAACTACTGCATCCTCCAACAATCCCACGAGATGGTCACTAACTTAGCCATCATTTTATAGATTCATAAACTACGATACAAGCAGAGATGATGTAGCCTGTTCAGGTCACGTGAGCTCCTGCTATATAGGGTTTCTGAGGCTGTAAATCTTTAAGGGAGGAAATCATCTTTCTCCTATGGAGCAGCTGGTGGATTCAAACTACCAACCTTTCAGTGAGTAGCCTCACATGTTATTCACTAAGCCACCAGAGTTCCTTGGTCCTATTCTACTAAGTGGCAAAGCTCAGATTCAAGACAAGCTGTTAGTCTCCAGCTTATATGGTAAAATGTAGTCATCCCATATGGTGCCTTATCCAGGCCAGGATCCCTCCCATCTTGGGCTGGACAATGTGCACACAAGGCACAGGTCACGGCACCTGGGCAAAAAGGTGTCTGAAGAAGATCTCAAGGATTTGAGCCCGCTGCTGCTTGGTCACGGCCTTCTTGAACAGCTCCTTCTCATTCATTGCCGACACATTGAAGTCAAGGCCCCAGCGCACACAGAAGTCCTTCAGACACTGCACAAAGGTGGCCCGCTCCTCCTCAAAGTTAAACTGCAGCACCTAGGTGACAGGAAGATCACGTTAATGCTCGTGTATGAACTTCTGAGATTCTGCTTCAGCTTCCCCTCAAAGGACTTGGGCTGAAGGAAGGAGGGAAAAGCTACTCTCCAGCCATCCAGGATGGGGCCAGGTGAGTGGTCTCAGTCAGGGAGGCAAGAGAGTGGGTGAGGTTGAATCAAAACCCTTTGAAAGGAGCTCTCCCAAACATCACCTTCTCAGGGGATCTCTAAAGTGGAGGACAGGGCAACCTGAGAGAACTTTTGGGGAAAGAGGCTGGAGTGAGGTAGGAGAGGTGGATGACGACAGCCCAGACAGGGGAGGCAGGAGAGGCTGTACCAGGTCATACTCCTTGGGGATCTTGAGCAGCAGGGTTCGACACCCCTGGTTGTTGGACAGGATGAGGTTGACTTGCTGCTGGGGCCGCAGTAGGATAGTTCGGAGCACAGAGAGTCGCCTGTCCAGGACTTGCAGACACCTCTCTGGAAGCAGCTGGATGATGATGGGATAACTCTTCTCCTTGGGACCTGGCCACTCCATTGCTGGAGGAAAGACAATTGAATAGAGTGGTCCTCTAGAAATCCCCAGATCCCGCCCTCTGGTCACCAGTCCCTTCTGGCACCCCAAAACCTAGCTTTCTTCTTGTGTCTGAAGTTTGGTGCTCTCTCCCCGAAAACCAGCCATCCTCCTCCTCTCTCCCTTCCTCCCCTCGGCCCCATCTCACCTGGCATCCCATCTTTGGCTCCTTGCTTCTTCACACTTTCTTTGGTTCTCTTTTGTAGCTTCTTGCGCTCTCGGTTCCGGAAATGGGCCACCACCCCAGAGATGAGCAGACTCACTGAAGGGGATCAGAAGGAGTCACCTGGGAGGGGTTCCCTTGCCTGCAGCTCCATTGAGTCTTTGGCTGCTTCCCCTCCCTCCCCAAGACCTTCTGAGCTTGGCCAAGTACTTAGCCAAGTAAATGGTGCCAAGTACTGAGTAGTTAGGAGGTGATAATGAACAGGGACCAGCTGTGGGGTAATGTGGAGGCCAAAGAAGAGATAGGAGGTGAGGGGGAAGGACTCACCTAGTGGAAGTAAACAGAGAACCACAATGGTGATGCCAAAACCAGGACCACTACCCTCAAAGTAGTCCAACACCGTCATGGACACACAGTGGGGCAGACCTTCGGCTGTGAGCTGCTCTGGTTGAGGGCATGGTTCACCTGAGGGAGAAGGCCCAGAAGACCTCAAAATCCAAGTATCCTACTGGTTTGACAAGTATACTTCCCTAATGTCTTATAAAGGACCAAGATGTCATCTTCCATACTCCAGTTCACCTTTATAGAGAAAGTCCCCTTTCTAGTGATATAACTTGAAAAATATAAGGAACATCACTGAGTTGTACATGCAGAATTTGTTGATGTTGTTGATTCTTTGCTCTGAATATTCTTTTTTTTATTTTATTATTTTTCGTATGTGTACTGTCAAATCAGATCTGACAGGTACAGGAGGAGATTTCCCCTCCTTCTACGGCAGAGCATCTGGTGGATTCGAACTGTGTACCTCTGGGATTGCAGTGTGCTCTGAGTATTCTTACAAAACATTTTCATTAATTTTTTTTAAACTCTCCTTCTGTATCTCACCTCTCAGCATTCACCCAAGCTTGACCACAAGACACAGGCTACTGAAGAAGCTCATGCGGGTTCCCTAACCCTACACAGACAGGCTTCTTTGGAGCCTGAGTCCCTGGACAGCATGAAGACTCCACTCCATCTCGCTCTTTCCTCCAGCCACTGCCAACTTGTGTTTTCCCTGAATACTCACCTTTTTGCCAGACAAACACATTGGGCTGCAAGGCACTAGGATCCACATTGGTGACAGCCACCAGCACATCCCGCAGTGTGGTATTTCTGATTTCTGCAATCTCCTCATTAGAAAACAGCCTAAGTTGGAGAAAGGCAAGAAGTTGTTGATATCAGGAAGGAGATTCAACTTCCAGTGACCCTGGGGCCTAGATGGACTTAGATGAAGAAAGAAACCTAGAGGAGTTGGGGAAGAGACACTGGAGAAGGCTGAAAATCAAGGGCCCATGGGGCTTTCTAGGCTCTGGGGTCTGGGGTCCAGGCTGGGGTGGAAACTGAGGTGGGACCTCAGGCAGTCAGGCCTTACCCATTCCCTGTGTTCTCAAACCAGTAGCGGTCACCATCCCGCAGTCGAACAAACTGGTCGAGGACAATGGCTGTGAAGAGGGGTCCTGGGTTGCCGTGGCTTTCCAGGAGCCCCCCAGGGAGCAGCTCCAGCCTGGACAGGTCCTGGTTGTACAGGTCAGCTGTGGCCTCCAGCACCTAGGGCACCAGAGGAAGTGGGGAATGGGTGAGCACTGGGGAGAGCAGCCACGTTGTCCCATCCCTCAGACACAGGACACCAGCAGGGCCTCTTGCTCTCAAGCCTGCAGGAATCGCCTCTTCTTAGGCAGCTTCTCAAGGGGGTTGTAAGTCTGGTGGGAGAATCTGTGTCCCTGTTCCTGTTAAGGCTGAAGACCAGATCCTGTGACCACTGCTCCCCAGTCTGTCTAATCTCGGTGATCAGCAGGTTCCGGGTCAAGCTACCCATAGGGAAGGACACTGCAACAAAAGGAGAGTAACACCAACCCAGGAGCCCCGCTGCAAGAAGAGTCCAATGGCGTGATTGCAAACATACTGCGGAGTCTGATGACCTGAGTTTAAATCCTGCCTCTAGGATTTACCAATTATTTTGTCCCTAAAACAGTGATAATAACAGTACAGTGAAGCTTGTGAGAGCTGGGTCTCTGGAAATTGCCTTTCCCCCCAGGTCTAGCAAGTTTTCTGCCTTCAACAAAGTGCAGTCTTACTGCATTTCTATCACTTGTTTTAGTACAAAATATTTGCTCTTTTCCTCTCTGACAGGTTTCTGCCTTATACAGGTCCTGGCTTTTTCAGATTTTACATCTACTTTATATGTTCTTAGGTAGATTAAAAGGAGGCATGATGCATGATGGTGCAGTGGTTAAGGGCTTGGCTACAAACCAAAAGTACGGTTCAAATCCACCAGTCATTCCATGGGAGAAAGATGTGATTGTCTGCTTCTGTAAGACTTACACTCTTGGAAACCCTATGGGGCAGTTCTGCTCTATCCTGCAAGATCACCATCGGTCAAAATCTACTAAATGGTGCACACCAATAACCACATGTAAATGATTGCAGTTTGGTATGTAAAGGACTTGGACCAGCCTCCACCACAGGAAAGCTTTAGCTGTTATTATCCCATTACTCCTCCTGACCTGAGGCTCCACATTGGGATTGAAGTTACTCCAGTTCTGTGGGGTCGTTAAGCCCAAGGCCATCAGGGCCTGGTTATAGCTGGGTAGTCCCATATCTCGGCCACGCTGGATGCTGCTGGCCACGTAGTCTGTGCGGGAGTACTTGCCAGGGCCAGGCCAGAAATCTAAAGACAAGAGAGGACTTGGCTAAGGATCCAGGCTCCTGATCCTTCCTTCTTCACCCTGTGGTCCCTTGCATCAGCCTGTTGACACTGTTCCCACCCCAGAGCTCCTCCACAGAGTCTGTGCCCAGGTTGATCTTGGTGAAAGCCTTGGTGTGGGGCCTACCATCACTCAGGGCATAATTTTCCTGGTGAGATTCTTCCTCAGAAACTCAAGATTATTCTAGTTATCAATAAATAAGTTCCTTGTCCTATATCTCCCTTGTGGAGCTCTGGTGGGCTAGTGGTAAGAATCTGTGCTGAAGGCGTGTAGTTCAAATCTACCAGCTGCTCCAAGGAAAAAGGATGGACAATCTTCTCCCATGCAATTATTGCCTCTGAAAAGCTGCTGGAAGGTCAGCTATGGGTCGGTTCTGACTTGATGGCACACAACAGTAACAATACCTCTCTGGTGGCAATAAGTAGTTCGCTGATAACTGAAGAGTCAAAAATGTGACTCCCTCAGTAACTCAACAGAAGAGAACATCTGGTGACAGTCCTGTAAAGACTATGTAACAGGAAACCCTAGGGACCGTTCTACTCAGTCCTAGAGGGTCGCTATGGGAATCTTTCAATGGCACAAAACAACATACTCCCCTAACCCCAATACAGGATGGGATGAAAGTTTGTAGAGACCAAAGATAAACTGTAAATTAAGTGGGACAAAAACATTTAACATTCATTTTTCTTCTAACAGCTGTTTTAATTCCGTGTGTGTGGGTGTGTGTGGGTGTGTCTGTGTGTGTGTGTGTCTGTGTGTGTGTGTGTACTGCAGATGCTCTAGTTCTGCCTGCTGACTAATTGAAAAGGGTCTCCAGGCTCCCAGCCTTAGGCCTCATCCCTTTAGCTCAGTGCTTACCTCTCAGATCTTCAACCACTATCCTATCTTCGAGTTCCGAAATCTGGGAAGCCATTCCCAGCAGCAGATGATTCACTGCCATGGCACTGTTTAGATTGGGGTTCTGAAAGTAAACCACACTGGGTAAGTGCTGGAGCCCCTCTGGAAAATTGAGCCCCTAGATCTTCTCACAGCCTAGGCTCTCACCCTGGACTACTGGGACACATCAGACAAAGGCCCTTGGCCAGTCCCCTCTTCTATCTTGAGCTCCAGTCCCCAGAAAAATCTGTTCACTTTCCACTCTTCATTCCTCACCAAACTGGAGCAGCAACACCCAAGAACTAGACTGGTTGCCTTTCCCAGCCTGTGTAAAGAAGCTGCCCTTGATCCATCTTCCCCTGGGCCTGACCCCAGCCTGACCTCTCGACTCCAGAAGCTGTTGCAGACCCTGAGAGCTGGTGAACTGTCAAGATCCTTGATCAGGATTTTCTGAAAATGACAGCTGGCATTTCTGAAATGGAGAAATCAAATAGGGAATTTAGAGAATAAACTGAAACAGAATTGAGTTGCATGAGGATTTCATGAAGGATGGTCAGGATTGAGAGGTGGCTAACAAACTTCTTAGAACAAAGTAGGGATTTGGCAATATGTAGGGGGTTTTTAAAGGTAGATGGGGCTCTTTGCCCATAGTGGGGAGGTGAAAGGGGAAGAAGGTGACCCAGCAGCTGGACAGTCCTTCTCTCAGCAAATCAAGCTCAGCCATAAGAAAAGCAGGGATGGTTTCCTTATGAAAATCCAACCCTCTATCCAGAATCCAGTTTTAGAACACCTAGTCCTACTTGCCCTCTCCCATCAAACTGTGGGGATTTGTGAAATGCCCTAGGCCCTCAAGGCCTCTTATTACTCACTTCTGTCTTTGTACCTATTTGGTCACCATCAGCCACTTTTCTCACCTCATGTAGACTCCTGGGGGCACCATAGTGGAGAAGAATTGCTCAGAGGCTGCCAGGAACTCTGGGGAGATGCTGGGGTCCTGGAAAGAGTTGTATCCTGGGAGCAGAAGGGGTGTACAAGTAATAAAAGTAAGTTTACCCGCTTCTTCACATTATAAGCCCCCAGCCTGCCCTCTTCCCCCTACTGGATCTTGACCCTCATCCACCACACTTGTGGGCCCACTCCCTTACCTTTATACTCAGGGGGTGTTTTGTCCAAGAAACTGGGCAGCCACTCATACAGAGCTATGTTCTGAGGTGCAGAGAAAGAGGGGGGAGGAGAAATGTAAGGAAGAAGACACAGAGACAGCTTTAAAATGATGGTATGAGGGATCTGAGTCCTTGGAAGCCTCCCATAAGGAGACAAAGGTTAAGTAAGGACAGTGATGCGAAAGGCTTCACAGATAGGAGCTGGGCAAAGGCCTGTTCCCAAAGGAACTCTGGGTGGGCCATTTGATAAGGGATAGTGGGATTTGCTGGAGGAACTAAATAAAAATCATAACCAAAGTCTTTTGTATAAATAATGCTTTGCCTCCTTGAAATTTTCAGTGGCTTTAGCAGGCACTAGCTCCCTGGGGTGAGGGATGTCCTCCAAATGGATGTGTCTGGCTGAGGGTTGCCAGACAACAGAGCCTCTGTGAGGGCGGACAGGACTTGGGGGCTCAGTGAGAGGTCGCGGGGGTGCAGCAGACCTGGTAGGTGGCGATGACCCTCTTGCGCGCGTGCTGGAACAGCTCCTCGTCCCCCCAGTGCGGGTGCTCCTTGGCCAGCCTCTGCGCCCACACGTTGTGGTAGCGGAACCACAGCAGCCCCAGCGCCTGCAGGAAGGGCTCACGGTTTCCTTGCTCCGCTCCGAAGGCTGCATCCAACGTGGGGGGCAGGGGGAGATGGGGAACAGCGTGAACAGGGACGCCCAACACCGCGGACCCCCATCCACTGCCTCTGACGAGGCCCCGGTGCCCAGTGAAGGGCCCCCCCCCCCCCCCTCGGCCTCACCATACAGCCCCTGGGGACCGCGCTGGCCCGTGGCGGGGTCGGGAGCATTCCACATCATTTTGGGTTCCTGTGCGTCCTGAGGGAAGGCGGGGTCCCGCCCAGACGCCAACTGTCCCCCAGAGAAGCTCCGCAGCGCGTCACTCCAGGAGTGTGAGGAGCCATAGATGGAGCTGCCGTCCAGCCAGCCGGTCACCTCGTTGATCTGCGGGGAGAGGATGAGGGGGGACCAAGGTAGACGCAGGCCAGGCGGTGCTCGGGGGAGGGGCTGCCCTCCTCTTCGGGTCTGGACCCCCTCTGCCCCCGTGCGGCCCGCCCGCCGCCTGCCTGGTCTCACCAGGTCCCGGGGGTGGCTGGGGCTCTGTCCGGTCTCAGGGTCCCAGCGGCTCCTCTGGAAAGGCAGCACCACGTCCCCGCGCTTGTTGGGATCGAACACGGGGTCTCCGGGCGGGATGCGGATGTTGAGGAACTCAGCAGGGCAGCCAGGTCTGTCCACACTCACCAGGTCTGAGAGCAAGTGATAGCCTGGGGGTGGGGGTGGGGGGTGCAGACTGGTGAACAAACGCTGTGTTCCCTGCACTACCATGTCCGTGCGGCCTCTCAAGGGGACAAAGGACAGGCCTTGTTTGCATCAGCTGGAAGCTTCACCTCCATTCCCAAGGATTCTGACTCATAGCAAGCCATGGGACAGAGGAGATAAGGGATTCCAAGATGCATTTTAACGGAAGTAGATTTCCATATCTTCTTCCTCATAGTAGCTGCTGGGTTACAACTACCAGTCCAGTAAAGCTCTGGCCCAGGGGTCACTAGGGCCATGAGGCACAGTGTAACAATGAAAACATTTTCTCATAAGCTCAGTTTTCACATACCCATATATTTACAAAGCGAAAACTCTGCGTTAACTTACTTTTGAACAATCTAATACAGTTCCGGACCAAATTTTCATTATTCCTTAATTATAGAGATTGAAACCGCACCTACATGTGCTACAAGCACTTGCTGTTGTTTTCACTGCTCCTGGCGTTTTTATAGCCGCCGATTTTGTCAGAACACCAGAGTGTTTTAGCTACAACCTTGTGGTAAGGTAGTATTTGTGAACTTACATAAATACTTTTCTGAGCATGAGGTCCTAATGAAGGGAAAGGAGTAAAATAAAAAAAATTCTGCTCAGTTACTGAAAATATTTTAACTATTTTAATTCCATATGGAGAGATTTTACAAAACAATTTTGCTGTCAGTATTGAGACAATCTAAGCAATATTACATTAAAGCCGTTTGCAACTATATCCATCACATGTTATTTACTGTGATTAGAATTGATAATGGCCTAGTGGCAAGAAGCTGCGCTGCAGTTCAAAGGCACGCGGTTCGAATCCACCAGCTGCTCCACAGAAGGATGAGCAATCTCCTTCCCTGCAATTAACTGCCTCTGAACCCCCCACCCCGCCCCCGTCAGTTTACAGGTCCGGCGCCGACGCGATGGTACACAACAACAACAAGGATTCTGAAGCTCGTACAGAGTAGAGTGGCTAACCCAAAGGCCGTGACTCTGTTTGTTCAAACCCACCCGCGGGTCTGTGGGAGTAAGATGGTCAGTTTCTTCCTGTGCGAATTAATGTCTCTGAGAGCCCACTAAAGCGTAAGCTGAGTCGGTTCCATACATAACAATAATTGGAGTCCCGCAATACTCCCTGGTTTGGTGTGAGGGGTAAGAGAAAAGGTTGGGAAAGCAAATATCTCCTTGTCAACATCCCAAATGCGCCAGGGTAAAAGGAGAAAAGGCAGCCTGGAGGTGCTCCTGAAGAGGGAAGGAGCTGGCTTGATGACTTGGACAGGAAGTTCTCCGGGGATGTGCAGAGCGCTCTCAAAGACCCTCTTCCCCAGAGGCTGAACTGATTGCCAGATCGAGCTCAGGGATTCCCTCCTCTTCCCCCGTCTTTGTCCTCACCAAAGAAGACCCCCAGCACCGTGCGATTGCGTTGCGATGCCTTTCCGGCCTGCCCCTTAGCCACGGCGTTGCTGAGCCCACGTGGGTTGGGGAGCAGCGGCTCCCCCAGAGCCTGGTACACGCCGTCGGCATAATTGGCTGGAAGCAGACGCTGCAGCCGGGAGCCTGCGGGCGACAGGGGCGAGGATCCATCAGACGATTCTGTACCCTTAGGACTCTCCAAATCTCACTGCCCTCGCTCCTGCCTTCCTACTCGGAGCTCTTCTCTGCCGGGTCTCCGGGCCGCAGGAGCTCGGAGGATGCGCGCCCTCCCGGCTTTTCCGAGCCAGTTGTCACACCCTTAGCCCTGTGAGTCGTCTGCGCCTCCCCCCGGAGTCTCCGGACGCACCTGCAGAGCCTCTCTGGTGGTATCTCAGGTTGTTGAACCAGCCGTCGTAGCGCTGTACTTCCCAGGGCAGGGAGAGGGCGTTCTGACCACCTGTGGGCTCAGAGAGTGGCCGGTCAGCGCTAGCTCCCCGGAGATCCCCCAGTAAAGGCTCTCAGAGCTAGTACAGCGTCTCCAACCCAACCTAGGAGGTGGCACTGAGCAACCGACCGCTGTGGGGCTGAGCCAGACAACGATCCAAAGATATTTCAGCCTCAAAGAGCGCTTGCCTGCGTCTCTCCCTTCTTCCACTCCCAGGTACACTGGCTGACACCAGAAGCCAGCGTAGCCTGACACTTACCTGCTTGATCCAGAGGTCCCGTCAGCAGAGCTCCCAGGAGCACCAGAGCCTCTAGCCTTGTCCGGAGCATGGTGACCCTGCAGTCCAGGGAATAAGGGACACCGCAGGAGTCTTCACCCTACCCCACCCCTATCTTTGATGCCTACAGTAGCCCGCACAGGGGAGAAGAAGCCAACGATTTCTCTTTATAGAGTGAAACTGTCAAAGGCCTCACTGAGGACCTGCAACCACCCACCCCTCTTTCCAGAATACTTAGCAGCCCTGGGGCATGGACACGGTTCTCCCTTGCCTCGTCCCTTCAGAGAATTCACCTCCTCCACGTACCCGAGTACTCTAGGACCTCTAGGACCTCCAGCCTCCTAGGACGCGTCCTCTATTCGTCCCTTCTCTCAAACCTTAGACACCAACTACTTCTAGAGTAGTACTTTACTTTACAGGACAAGGAAAGTAAAAAGGCTAGTGAGACGGAAGCCAGAGCTAGGACCTACAGCCTTCCACCTGCGATGTGAGGGGTGATCGGGAGGGGGGATAGGGGGATAATCCAAAATACAACTGCCTGGGTGGAGGACGAGGGCTGAGAAAGTCAGGCCCCGAATCCCAGACCAACCTCTGATTTAGGGTCCCAATCGGGTTCAGGCGTTCTACTTCCGACTGCACGCTTTGTTTCTATTCTTGGCTCTGCTCCTGGGCTCCCACTCCAGAGTTCCAGCTCCTCGGCCAACCTCAGCTGAGTCCTCAGACTTGCTGGCGCGCGCGAGTGTCCTCTCCAGCTAGACCAGCGCCAGGTGTGGGCAGCTGGACACGCCGCTTGCCTTCCAGCTGAGAGGGCGGGGCTAAAATTATTTGCATAACAGTCCCCGTCCCTTATTTGCATAATCCCTACCCGCCCCAGACCCTGTTGCCAAATCTTGACACCCCTGCGGCACGCCACTCACGCTGCTATAAAAGGGGTCCGGGTTTCGCGCGATGTACAAATATTGTGCGCGCCCTCAGAGTCCGGAAAATAACTGGCCGACGTTAGTGAGAAATAAATCCGCTGGCTAACACAGAGCTCGACGCAGCCCGCGGGGCTCGAATTTAGCCAACCTGCCCCAGAGGGGAAAGGGAAGGGGAACTTTGGTGCCGACAAGTACCAGCTCTCCTTGCTCCTTGCAGATTTGGCTCGCCCGCTTGGGCTCGCGCTCAGCGCTCAGCGCTCGGCGGGGGTTGCAGCATGACCCTGTGGAACGGGGAGCTCCCCTTCTATCCCCGGCCACGGCAAGCAGCCGGGTTCAGTGGCCCGCTGCTCGTGGTCATCCTGGTGTTCCTGGTTTTGGCCGCCAGCTTCCTGATCATCTCGCCTGGGATCCGTGGCCGTTCGGTAAGCGCGCTCTAGAATCCGGGTCTGGATTTGGGGGTGGGGGAGCATCCTGGATCTTGTATGTCAGAGATCCAGGACAGGTTAGATTATAATAGCAAGTGCCATTATCCAAGGTCAAACCAGGGCCCAAAGGAGGAAGACACAGTTTAGCTCACATAGCGTTTGTCCCAAGCACTGGGAGAGCCCGGGACATCCAAGAGTCGGCGCCCACTGGCGCTATGCGAAGTGGCTACGTCTAGGTTTCATGTGTTGCCGCGCTTCCCACCTCTTTCCGGACTGCAATTCCATCCCAATCTGGTCTTCAGGACATTGGGACCAGAGATGCCTGCCTGACTGCCAAAACGGCACAGATAATCAGCAGTTTCGCCTGCTGTTTCCACTGTACGCTGGGTTGAGACGCCTGGGTATAGGTGTCCCTATCCTGCACAGATCTGGAAGTTATAATAGGTTAGGTGCATTTCCTAATTCTCCCTCAAGGATCCCCCTACAGAGGTTGTGCGGGTTTTTGCCCCCAAATGTGAAGACTCAAACATCTTCCCTTCTTGAGCTGTGTTTGTTTCCCGGGAACAGGTGAATTTATGAGTATTGGAGAGGCAGTGCTCCCGCCTCCTACCTTCTTTGGTGACTCTCCCCCCTCCCTCTCCTGGGGGAGGTGACCCCCTGCTGCCTGACGCTTCTCATGGATTCACTGAGTCCCACTTAGCAGTGACCCGAGGAGGAAGTTGGACTAAGGCCAGACCACTAGGAGAGGGAAAGGTCTAAGAGAATCCAAGGCACTGGTGCTTGGGCTGTGCTGTAGACAGGAAACCGAGGCTGAGAGGCAGAGGCGCATAGCCAGGAATTACCAGAAATGTTGGAATAGTCAGGACTTGCTAGGAAAGCAAACGTAACTCAAAATACCAAGACTGTAATAGGGAGAGTGATTAAGAGGTGCAAGTACAGGTCTAAAGAGTAAAGGGGGCTGGGGTCCTGAGAAATCTTGGTTGCTCTTGGTCAGTGCCTGTACCTGATTTGGGTGCCTATTCCTGCAGCGCTGGTTCTGGCTGGTCAGAGTTCTTCTCAGTCTGTTTATAGGCGCCGAAATTGTCGGTGAGTGTTGGGGTACAGGGTGGGGACTGCAGAGGGTAGAAAGTGGCCAGAGGTGGGAAGTTGGGGTTTGTCCTGGATCATTCTGCTCCTTTTCCACCCTCAGGCACATGTAAGACTCTTAGGAGTCCCCTCCCCATTTCCTGTCCCACCTCCCGCCATCATTCTTCTAAACTCTCGCCACACCTGCCCCGCTTGCCTCTCCTCACAGCCGTGCACTTCAGCGCAGATTGGTTCGTGGGGAGGGTCGACACCAACACGTCGTACAAGGCCTTCAGTTCGGCGCGTGTCAGTGTCCGTGTGGGTCTTCACGTGGGCCTGGAGGGCATTAATATCACACTCACAGGTGAGAGGCCTGGGGCAGAGTGAGCTCCTGGGGCTGGCAGACTTATCTTTGGGGAAATGTTGTTTTTATTGTGTACTAACGAGTCAGAACCGACCCATAGTTACCCTCCAGCAGGTTTTCAGAAACAGTGTATCGCATGGGAGGAGATTGCCCAGCCAATCTGCAGTGGAGCAGCAGGTGGATTCGAACTTAGTGCGTTTGAGTTGGCAGTGCAACTCCTTACCACTAAGCCACCAGAGCTCCCTCCTGGGGGGAATGTGGTGGTGGGCAATTAGAGCATCATCTAGAGCTCAGCAACTCAAATAACTCTAGGTTTTCGTGGAATTACATTTCCCCCAGCCTCCGTCACCGGCGACCCAACCCCACTCCTGTACACTCCCGGCTGCTCCCCTCCTCCCAGTTTTACATAAAAATCGCGACTCCGCCGCCCCCTGCAGGGACCCCAATGCAGCAGCTGAACGAGACCATCGATTACAACGAGCAGTTCCGCTGGCGTCTGGGCGAGAACTACGCGGAGGAGTACTCTGAGGCGCTGGAGAAGGGGCTGCCCGACCCGGTACTCTACTTGGCGGAGAAGTTCACTCCGAGCAGCCCGTGCGGACTCTACCGTCAGTATCGCCTGGCGGGACACTACGCCTCGGCCACGCTGTGGTGAGCGCAGGGGGAGCGGCCGAGCGCGTGGATGGTGGGGGGTGCGGGGAGCAGTTCGCCTAGGTGGGTCAGACGGTCGCACCGTCCATCTGGACAGCCGGAATCCGGACAGACTCAGCAATAGCTCAGAGCTCTGGAGCCGCCTCTTCCGCGGAGATTCCCCAGAGCCCTGCCTTTGCCGTCCAAGCCCCAGTTTTCGCCCTAGGCTAAAGGACAAGTCTTGCCGAGCAAGGCGGTGGGGCCCCTGGTGGTCTGGAAGAAATTAGCGATCTGCTTCCAACTGTCTCCTGGTAGTTCTCTCCAAGCAGACAGAACCGTAGGCTTGAGTCTACGGGATGCAGCAAAGTCCGGCGGCAGATGCGGGGTTCTCTTCCCTTCCTCGGGGGGCCCTTGGCGCGTGCCTCCCGCTCACCACGCGCGGCCGCTCCTCCTGCAGGGTGGCCTTCTGCTTCTGGCTCCTCGCCAACGCGCTGCTCTCCATGCCGGTCCCGCTCTACGGAGGTCTGGCGCTGCTGACCACTGGCGCCTTCGAGCTCTTCTCGGTCTTCACGTTCGCCTCCATCTCCGCCGTGCGTTTATGCCCGCTCCGCCTTGGCTCCGCGGCGCTCACCCCGCACTATGGCGCCGCCTTCTGGGTCACCCTGGCCACCGGTGAGGACCGCGAGGAGCCCGGCCCGGGGAGGGTGTGGGGACAGGATTTCTATGGCTGCGAGCTTTCCAGTTCATGAATGCGTTCACGCCTCGTAGCGAATTAACTTAATTAGAAAAATTAGCTGCTCAACACCTCATTTCCTAGAGGTAGGCAGCCACTATTTTGCTTTACAGATGAGTAACAGGGGCTGATGGACAGCTAGTGTGCGAACTCTCGGGAATGTTCAAATGCCAGAAATGAGGGAGGGCAGGTCAGCTTCTGGTCGCAGCCCAGGCTGTCACCTAATTCCAAACCCCGTCCCCACAGGCATCCTGTGTCTTCTCCTCGGAGGGGCTGTGGTCAGTCTCCACTACACCCGGCCTAGAGCTCTTCAGACCTTCCTGGACCTAAGCGGCAAGGACCATGAAGGCCAGGCGAGAGGAGACTCTCTCATCCTCAACAACCCTCTGCACAAGCAGTCTGAGGACCCAGATTTAAGCATGACCACCCACCTATGAAGGGGGCAAACCCCCCACCTCCTATTGCGCCCGAGGTCTGGGCAGCAATGCCCTCTGGGCCTGAACTGAGAGAACTAGGGGAGGGGCCTAGCGCTGAGGACGTCTGCATCTTCGAAACTGGGACACAGCAGCAAGCGCTCAAGGAACCTCCCAGGATGAGCTGTAAATAAACTTTTTTTCTTTTGTTTTGTTTTTTAGAAAAAGAAAGAAAAGTTTTTCCCCTTCATTTTCACGGTTTCAGCGCATCTGGGCCCGCGCGCTCTGGAGTGGTTTCAGTGCACTGGAAGCAGCCTAGTCTGATACACTCTAAGCCAGGAGGAGGAGGAGGAGGCAATTGTTTCTCGGAAGGGAGACTACTTTAATCCTCCAGGAAAGCCTCTGACAGCCTGGCGCCCTCTAGTGGGCCCCTAGGGGAATCGACCCATACTAGCATCCGAGTCGCAACTCACTCATTCCCGTTTGTGTGGACCCGGTGAGGAAGGACCAAAGTGTCTTGCAGTTTATTCCCTAACTCCTCACACTTGGCTTCTTTAGGGATGATGTCTAAGGGCATGGGTATATGTCATCGAAGCATAAAAATATAAATCCTAGAACTGTTTAGATTGTCAAAGGTTACAATTTTATTTGGCAAAATTGAAAACAAGCTCATTGAGAATCACAGTTGGTTAATGTTAGACTTGGAAGAAGTATGGTCTCTTCTCTCTCTCCTTGTCTGTCTGTTGTCACTCTCTCTCTCTCACACAGAGAGAGAAAGAGAGAGAGAGAGAGAGAGAGAGAGAGTCAGTCTTTCATTGTACCAATAGGTCACACAAAATGGGGAAAATAGTTAGAACAAAGAGGCCCCCCAAAAGGGGGGGAACGTGCAAAAGGACTAAATGAAAACTACACTATAATCCTAATATCCTCCACATTATTTAAGAGAAGTAGGGTTTCAATGAATGTCAGGGGCACCTCAAAGAGGCCAGATACCAAAGAAAAGGGGCTTGTTCTTCAAGAAGAGCAGCTCATGGCTTGGTCTTGGCCATGACAACAGGATCAAAAAACATGCTGAATGCTTGTATAGCATCAGAGGGCTCCTTTTCAAAATAATACCCATGTGCAGAGCACTTCTTTCTTTCCTATTTATCGGAGCTGAGGGTCACATACATACAACCTACACTGTAGGTGGCTCTGATGTTCTTATAGGGCTCCAATGAATCTGGAGCCCAACTGGAAGTCCAAGTGGCTGTTAGACGGACATTAGAGCGTGCAGTCAGGATCCTTGAGATGCTCCTCTGCATAGCAGGTCTCAGAGGATGCCTCTGACAGAGGGACGTGCTGAGTCTTAGGACTCTCAGCCATCAATCGGTAGCGTGGGCTCAGGAGTTCCCCTTCCTCAGGGCTCCACTCCAGCATGGGCTCCTCCTCTGCGCTCTGGTTGAAGAAGGCTTTCAGCCTGTGGGGCTGCATCCGGTGGGCCACTGTCACGGCTAGGCCCAACAGCACGCACAGCAGTCCTATGGACAAGGGCAACAAACTTAGTGCCAGTAATCCTGTCCCAAAGATGTCTTCTGAGATAGGAATGTCTCTGAGAAAGAACTAGAGTCCCTGCTTCAGGGCAGTTTAGGCTTAGAGGGGTGACTGATTTGGGGTCACAGTTCTGTTGTTCTGGCTTTCTAGATTCCGTGTCCAGTGCTCCTTCGCTTGCATCCCAGCAGAGAGAATGAGAACAGAGCGTAGAGAAGCATGGGGAAGGACACAGGAGGACAGATGGAAGGGCATAAGGGAAGAGTAAAACTACAGGGCAATTTATAACAAGGTGGGGCAGGAACAGAGGAGGGTGCCTGAAATAGAGAACACAGGATGTTTGCAGGAGGCATAAAGAAACATGAGGTTGGAAATCTTAATAAAGAGCTAAGAATGAGATAATGAACATGGGCAAGAGAAAAATTATGCAGATACAGAGGAGTTGGACATATATGGGGAGGAAGGGAGAGTGGATCTGAGGAGAGAAAACCAGAAATGAAAGAAATAGAAGTCTTGGAGTTTTGTAGAGGCAGAAGGCAGCCTTGAGCCCCAGAGGCTGACCCTCAACCTTACCAGCATGATAGTCTCTAACCTTCCCTCCCTATCCTGGGCACTCCAGTACCTGTCTTCAGAGCTGGACCTCACCTGTGGCCAGTGTGATCCAGAAAGCAGGCCCATGGTAAGTGTTCAGTGTGACAGGGCCCAGGTGCAGCGGACAGGATGGGATGAGAGTAGTGGCCATGGAGAAGAAGACCAATGCCAACAGCTGGAAGATGCCTGTGGCCAGCAGCATGTGGCCGCCATAGACCAGCACCGACATGGACAGCATCACATTGGTCAGCAGCCAGCAGAGAAAAGCCACCCTGGAGAACCAGAACTCTATAAGGACTAGTCTAGGCCCCCTCTACCAGCTGGAAGACCTAAGGATGTGAGGCAGGAATTCTTGCCCATGGGCTTGCCAGTCAAGTTCAATGGTGACTAGTGTCAGCCTATCCCAACACAGACCTCCATATGAATAGAAGGATGGGTACAATCACATTCCTGGGTGCAAGCCAGCAGGACCTCCACCCCCATGATCCCTTCCCATACTCACCACAGTGTGGCCGATGTGTAGTGTCCTGCTAGACGGTACTGGCGGTGCAGGCCACATGGGCTGCTTGGGGTGAACTTCTCAGCTAGGTAAAGCACAGGGTTGGGCAACCCCTTTGCCAGTGCATTTGTGAACTCTTTAGCATAGTTTTCACCCAGGCGCCAGGTGAACTCCTCATTGTAATTAATGGTCTCATTCAGCTGCTGCACCGGAGTTCCTAGGGAAGGGTCGTCTGTGCTTAGCAGGGGCCTGAGGCCTAGAGAGTGGGCTTTCACCTGGACAGGAGCTCACTCTCACTGGGCAGAGAGAACAGCTAGTCTCAGTTGAGAGATGGTAGCTTCCAAGCCCTCTGAATCTTTCTCCTTTCTTTCCTCGCAACATCCACGAATCAGTGGCAGACATCCTAAAGTTTAATGAACCAAACCAAGATTCCCAGAGACCCAGAGCAGAGCCCTTCCTCCCCCCACAGATGAGTGCCCTCCCTCACCCACCTGTGAGTGTTATGTTGACTCCTCTCAGCCCGACCTGCAGCCCTATGTCGGCGCTGATCCACTCAGAACTGAAGGCCTTGTATGATGTGTTGGTGCTGACCTGGCCCACAGACCACTCAGAACTGAAATTCACAGCTGGGTTTGGAGAACCAGACATGTGAGAACTCAGGGGGAATTGGTCTTTACTGAATTGGGGCAATGCAGGGGGTCCATGCTTGCTTTGCTCTTAACTGAATATATACGCAGAAACTAGCTCTGTGCATGCTATGTCCACAAACAATCGTAGAGATAAAGAAATGGGCCAGAGTCTAAGATATCCTTTTATTATTTTTGTGTGAGTGTACCGTCAAATCAGATCTGACTGGTACAGGAGGAGATTGTTCCTCCTTTTCCCGGCAGAGCATCTGGTGGATTCGAACCGTGTGCCTGTGGGATTATAGTTTCAGCTCCTTGCCACTAGGCCACCAGAGCTCCCCTAAGATATCCTTTAATCACATTCTTTTCCTCCCTTACATTCTTTCCTCTCCCCATCTCCATTAAGGGAAAGCCATTTAGCAACTGGGAGAGGAAAACTTAACATAATGGTTAACTTAACAGAATGGTTAATCTGACGTTTCAATGGAGAGGCCTTTGATCTCTTCTGTTTGCCTAATCACCAAAGCAAAGCAAGCAGTCCTCCTCCCAGGTTTCCTCTCTTCTGGTCCCCAGCGGTCTTCTCCCCCAGACACAATTATGAATCAAATAAGGGCAGTTGGGGAAACACTTCTAGCAAGGTTTTCCCAGGGACCTGTATTTCTCAGGGCAAGAATAAGATTAGGGCATGTGGACATAGTGATAAGGGGGTCTGGAAGGCCAGTCGGAAGCAGGAGCTGCTATAAAGAAGCAAAGCCTGAAGAGAAACAGACTTGGGAAGCAAGATGGAATGAGAGCAACTGCCCAAATCAACTGCACTTAGCACTCACCCAGGATGACAGAGCCGATGAACAAGCTGGTCACTACCCGCAGCAGCCAGAACAGCCTCTGAGTAACAGGGCAGTAGGTTTAGTAAGGTATTCCCTCCCTCCAGGCCCACCCTTCCTGTTGTCAAATTTAGAGGGGAGTTCTAAAATTGTGGTCAGCTGGCACCTGGTGTGTGCTCAGTAATAACTCTTGACTCAGTGGATGGCGGTGGGTTATATAGTGGGTTTCAGTGTGGTGTAAAAACACGTCTCAAGAGGCTGCTGGAATCTTTCCTGACCTTGGTTGTGGTCAAACAGAAGCTGAGATCGTTCTGGGGCCGGGGTCCCCAGGGCTCAGTTTGTTTCTTACCATTTTGCCCCGAATGCCAGGAAGGATAATGATGAAGGTGACCAGTGCCATCAGAAAAACGGTAATGATGACGGCCAAGGCAGTATTCATTGGGAAGTTCGGCTTGGGGCCAGCATAGAAGGGGAATGTGTGTCCCAGAGCCGGCATTTTGGCGATGGTGTGCAGAGGAAGGAGGCACTGTGCAGAATAATAAATACTTAGGATGTCTTCTATGGACCAGACACTGCTATTGGTGCTCAAGGCAGAGCAGAGTAAAACAAAGCAAGGTTCCTATTTCCTCCTGGAACTGATATTTCCATGACTCATCAGGCTCCACTGTACCTGGATTCTACACCCCTCATGCCCAGATCCTATCTCTGGTGATGGCAGAATGAGGGTCTTAGCAATCAATCTCTGTTGTCCTATGGTCTCTTTCTAACCCCTACATCCCTTAAATTGTATCATCATTGCTCTAGAGGCTTCTCTGCTCCCCCTAATACTGTCCTAAGAAGTATAATTCTCTTTTATCTCCCTCAGGCCTATTGCAGAAGCTGAGAGTTCACAGAACATAAAAAGTGCTATATTTACTTGCAAGTGAAGGCATGAGGGTGAAAGATAATACAAATTACAGAAAGATTGGCTTTTCTTCCCTAATACCGAAAGAAACAAAGGTCAGACACCCCTGCTAAGTATATAGTCCCAAAGACATCATCAGAAGGCTGCTTTCCAAGCTTGTTACTGGCCACTCTGGTCTGTCCAGCTATCTCAAGCACCATGGCTTGAGAAACTCCAGAACAATGGAGCTTAACTTCCTTCACTTCAGTAAGCACTGAAGGACCACTTGTCCTCCACCAGGCAGGGGCCAGGTGTCCTTCTGCCCCACACATCCCCAAGACAGGTCCTTCTCTTCGCTTAAAACACACCCCTCATTCCCCAGGTCTCATCTCAGCTCAAACTGGCCTCTAGTAAAGCAACAGAGAAGGCTATCTCTTTCCTGATTTCAGCTTGTTTAATTTCCATCTTTCTTTGGCAGACTAGAAACTTGAAAATGGTTGTTGTTGTTGTTGTTATATGCCATCGAGTCGCTTGAAACTCATAGAGACCCTATGTACAAGAGCTCTAAATGCTGTTCTATCCTGTGCCAACCTAGCCATCTCAAACGCACTCATTCCCACCACTCCAGTCACAGAATTGATCCTTCTCATCGAAGGTCTTCCTCTCCTTCGCCGCCCCTCCACTCTGCCAAACATGATGTCCCTCTCCAAGGGCCAGTCCCTCCTTGCAACATGCCCAAAGTATGTCAGACGAAGCTTCAGAATCCTTGACTCCAAGGAACACTCCGGCTTCACCTTCTCCAGGACAAACCAGTTTGTTCTCCTACCATTCCATGGTATATTCAACACTCTTCTCCAGCACCACAGCTCAAAGGCATCAATTCTCTTTCTATCAACCCTATTCACTGTCCAACTCTCTAATGCATAGCAGGTAACTGCAAAGACTATAGCCCGGATCAGGCACACCTTAGTCTCCAGTCCTGCGTCATTGCTCTTCAGTACTCTTGAGAGGTCCCTTACAGCTGATTTTCCCAATGCAATTCATCTCTTGATTTCCTGGCTGCTGTTACCAAGAGTGTTGATTGTGGAGCCAAGTAAACTAAAACTGTTAACTATCTCAATCTCTTCACCATCCATACTGATGCTGCCAATTGGCCCAGTGGTGAGAATCTTTGTTTTCTTGAAAATGGTACCTGAACTTAATATATTTTGTTAAATTTAAGACAGACTAGCTTGCAAGATGTACTATTATTTCAGGTACCACAAAGAGGAAAATACTGCCAATTAAACTATGACAGTCATTGCTTATAGGGTACACACAATATCAGAGATGTTTAAAAATGGAGGTACAGGCTAATCCAAAAATTTATGATCCCAGGTCTGCTCATTTTCCTAAGTGGGATCTGTCCAGGAGTTTTGTTTTGCCCTGAAAGTTGTAGTTTATAGTCCAACCATGCTGTTTCTCATAGTGAGAGAATATGTTCTGGGGTCAGGCAGCTCTAAATTCTGCCTCTGCCTCTTGCAAGTCATTTAAAATCTACTACAGAGACTTGCTTTTCGTGAAAATGGGGACAATAAGGTCTACCTCATTGTGAGCATAAGGTGAGATAAGATGGTAAGAACAATGCCTGGAACAAAGTATTATTGATAAATTGAAGCCGCTGGATTAGGAAGGAGGGAACGCTGGTGGTCTAGTGGCAAGAAGCTGAGCTTTGATCCTGATGACACATGGTTCAAGTCCACCAAATGCTCCTTGGGAGAAAAATGAGCAATCTCCTCCCATGTGATTAATTGCCTCTGAGAGAAGGTCAGCTATGCATCAGTTCTGACTTTGATGATACATTTCATTACTCTCTCTCCAGTCATTCTCCAGAGAGAGGCCTGCGCTGGAAGTAATTCGGGGTCTAGTGTCAGTTCTTCACTGGCTAATTTATAACATTGGACGGGAAGTGACATTTCGCTGATACTCATCTGTAATTGAATACCGAATTTTCTTTCATTTCTGTATGCTGTGATTCTCTTATAATATACCCTAACTCCTCGCCTGACACTTTCCGTCTGGGCTGGCTATCTTCCTTTGCTATCTCTAGGGATAGTGTGAAATCAAACAGAGAGATAGGAAGACATATTACTTCAATCTTTGGGGCAAGTCACATGGCCTCTGAAATTAATTTTAAGCTGGAAAAGGTCTTTCTTTCTCTCTTCCATCTCACCTTCCTCAGCTCCATCTCAGAGGAACAAATGACTTTTCTTTTTCTAATGCTCCAAATCCATCTTCTTGGGCTCTGGATCCCAATCCTGCCTGCTTTATCCACTTCCTTCCTTATCAACTCTCTTACCTTCCATAATTCTTTCAGATTCTCTTTTTCCTCCCTCCTATTCTAAGCTTATGCTTAAAATTCTCCCATTTTAAGAAAACAAAGAAAGGGAACTCTACTGACACTCAGGGTCCCCTCCAGATACTACTAATTCTCTCCCTTTAGTGCCAAATTTATTTCAATAAAGCAATAGTCTATACTGATATTTTTACTAATCTCCTCAACCATTGTAATCTGGTTTTTCTCCCCATGTCCATCTTCTCCATTAGTCACGAAGGGTTACATCCAATGTGCACATTTCACGTTTAATGCTTCTTGACTTCTCCGAGTTATTTGGTGCTGTAGCTTGATTACTCCCTTTTTTCTCAAACTTCTCCTTGGCCTTCCATGCCAATATATCCTTGCGAATCTCCTGCCTTTGGCCACCTTATTCTTGGCTCTTTTCTGGTTCTCTGTTCTCTTTTTTAAATGTTGATGTTCCCCAAGGTTATATTTCAGTTCTCTTCTTGTTTATGTCAGGATTCCCTGGGCAATCTCATTCATTGGTTTGGCTGATGGTTTTCATTTCTGTGTCTTTAGGTTGACCTCCTACCTAGACTCCAAACTCAAAAGGCCAACTACCTTATGAACGTTTCCACTTGGATGGTCCACTGATGCCTCAAGTTTAACAGGTCCCAACAACCACCCTGCTGTTTATCCTTTGTCTCTTTGGTGGCATCACCATTCTGTGTCAATCAAATAAATCAAAGACTTTGGTCATTTTACCACTTGAAACCATTTCTACCCCTATAAACCTCTGCCTCAATTTCATTTCATCTTCCCATGCCTGGTGTGAGAATAATTTTTCCAACAAGCAAACATCTTTTTACTTCCCTGCTCATAATGATTTCTGGGACAATTCTAATCTTCTCATCATCACATAGAAAGTCTGTCATGATCTAATCCTACTTACCCTTCTGTCTTCATTTTTTGCTCATCTGAATCTCTAACAATACTGAACTACTCATCTCTCCCTCCATATGACATGCTCTTTCAAGCTTCATTGCCCTTATTTATGCTATTTCTTCAGCTTGGAATGCTCCCACCCTTTTGGCAAATACTTTCTCACTCTTCAAGTCTTAACTCGTGCTACCTTCTCTGTGAAGTTCCGTATGATGCATCAAGCCCATTCAGATGTTCCCACCTCTAACATTTGAACATACACAGTGATTATATTGCACTGTAATTTGAATGTCAGTCTCCCACTTGCCTCTAAGCTCTTGGAGAAAGAGACCTTGTCTTTTCTATCTTGGCAGTTCCTGAACATAGCATATAATAGCATATACTAATCAGGCTCTGGATATATAGCAAATGATGAATATATGATTAAGTTCCTTTCTCTTTGAGTGACTCATTCTGATTTTGTACACAAGAGGGAGCCCTGCTTCCTCCTTGCCGTGTATCTGTTCTTCACGCTGTGTTCTTCTAGTCAACATTAACTTAGTATCACCAGTGCCAGGCTGAGAAGTGGGCAGGAAGGTATTTGACCAATTCCCTCAATCTGTAATGTCACAATTTTTTTAAAATCTCTTCAGTAGTTGGACTCTCCAAAATGAGCACAGACCGAGGCATGAATAAACATGTTTAAATGACTCAGAAATATCTATTCCAACCCTAGCTGAAGATGGGTAAAAATTTATGATTGAAAGTATCTTGTAAAATCTGTAACAGTGATATTTAAACAGGCCTTAGAACTAGTTCTTCCCAGTTTAGTCATGGTTTGCTGGAAACTTAATGTCCCTCTTAGAAAACAAGGGCAGCGTTTCTGTTACATAGCAACCAAATATCTTGACAGAGGGAAACAGGTCTTCCACTCAAAAATGGCAGAGGATCCCTCTGCTTTAACCATATGTCACTCTCCATCACACACTCACACACTCATTCATAGTTGCTGAATCAGGATAGATTAATAGCTGACCCTCCAGTGAGTACCCAAGGCTGTAAAGTGCATGGAAGGAGCATGCTCATCTTTTTTCCTTGGAGTCACTGATGGATTTGAACTGCCAGAGAAGTGCCACATTTGGGTTAGCAGTGCAACTTCCTGTCGACTATTCTTCCAGAGCTCCCTTCACTCTCCGTAGTGCTGGTGATAATACAGTCTTTTGAAGTAGGCTGCTCAAAGGGCTCGTGATGCCTCTCCTGAGCTTGCCATTGCAGGCTTTCTACTTACAGTTTGTATCAAGCTGGCTGTCATTATATATTGTTAAAGTCTTTTAAAAATTTTGCTTCTTCAACTAGGACTGCTCTGATTTTGCTTCTTCAGTGAGGACTGAATTGTTTCTTTAAACCAGTATTTAACTTGTATTTAAGGGAGATGATTACTGAGCTAAGAATTTTTCATTCACAATTCCTCCACAGAAGCCATTACAGTTTGATGAAAAGTTGTCAGGAAAAGGCAATAAAGTGTAGACTATACTAATTAATAAGATGCAGAGATAAAGCCAAGTTGCTATTGATAAGAATAAATTCTACATAGGGACATTTTAAAATCAAATATTTACAGTATAAGCAAATAATAATAAACACATGGTTCAAATTTGCCAGTTTCTCCATAGGAGGATGGGCAGTCTCCTTTCAGCTAATTAACTGCCTCTGAAAACCCACTGGAAGGTCAGCTATGCATTGGTTCCAACTTGGTGGTACATGACACACATAACAACACTATTTACTTTGGTAGGGTCACATACTGTTTTAACTATATCAGCTTTTATTTTTAAAAGGAAGGTTATAAAATATTTTACCAGAGTGACTCATCTCCCTTAACATGGTGCATCAAAGAAACACTAACAAAAGCTTACTGTATTTTAAGTATAGACGAACAGTGTTAAATTAGTCTTAACTCTTCCAAATATTTATTAAACATGACTAAGCAAAAATACAAATGGTAAATTTTATAGCAATTTAAAAAGACAGTGAATAAAGTATTTCTCAATTATTTTCTTGTATAGCTTAATGACTTAACTCTTCCTGAACTCACATTGCCAAATTTAAAGCTTATTTTCCATGAACCTTATCCTAATTTTTCATTATTAAACTATCAGGCTTCCTGCATGAAGAAGTGGGACTGGAATGAAACATTTACACAAAGCTCATGTTCTCCTCTGGAGCACCTTCCTCACTGCCTCGACAAGTGGAATCTGACAGTAGAGGGTTTTTTTCCCCTAATCTGAAAAAAATCTTATGAAATGTTCACTGGACCCAATTCTTCTGTGTTTAAATATGCACACAATCACAAAGCACACAAACTTATAAAAACACAGAGACACAGACACAAGATGTAAAGCCACTGGTTCTCCCATTCTCAGGAACACAAAAATCTAGAAACACTCCATCAGAGGACCCGGTGACAAATTTCTCAGTGGAGTAGGTCAACCCCCCACAGAGGTCCTACTCTCTCACCTGATCTATGGAAGATCTCAAATATTGAAGTCTCTTTCATTCCCAGATATAATACAATTATATAATCCTTACCCTAGGATGAAGTGGGGTGTCCTTGTATATAAGAGAAGAAGACAACAGATACAGTCTTTAAGAAAATTGAGCCTGTACAACACCAGGCATTAGCTTTTAAAGTTATTTACAAGCTTGGTTAGTGCTCTATAACGTTTTTTTTTGTAGCCTGACCAGATCTTCTTCCAAAAGTCTTTCTCTGCCTATCAACCAGAAACCATTTGCTACAGAGTACTAGTTCTCTACAAAGCTGCCAGGAATGCTAATTGGTAATGCCCAGCGACTGCAAGGTAATGGTTTATTTCTCCACTTGAGGCTGACTATTAAAAGTTTAAAGCTCCAGCTGGCTAGTGGAACTCTAGAAGGACCTTCTGTCCACGACGCTCCTCTTAAAGGAAGGTGTGTGCATGTGGTTTCAGCAAAGGAGAAACTAGGTGAAGAAACAGAACAGAATCTGAAAAATGGATTGGAGCAGAACTCCCCAGAAAGTAAGGATCTCAGGGATGTTGGATCAGGTAAGCCAAAACAGCCATAATCCAGTTACACCAAAATAAAGATTCTATGTCTGCAGATCTTGTGACACCTTGAGCCTTATTGAGTTTCCCTTGCATCCTTTTAGGTTCATTTAAACTTTCTTTGCAGAATCACAACCTGATGAGAGCTTGGTCTACATAGACTCAGAAGTGCGCCTCTAGGGCCAGGGTGGGGAAGGCACTTCAAGGCCAGTTCCAGACCCTCAGGGACACCGCGGGCACACTGCCCACCACCCACCCACCCACACAGGGCCCAGCTTTCCTTACCTGCGTCTTTTCAAAGCAAAGCGCCCGTGACAGCCTCTCGCCTCTTGGTCAAACCTCACACGCAGCGCTGTTGAGGATGGACAAGGGAAGATACTGGACGTTCAGTCACCAAAAGTGAGCGCCCTTTCTCTCCACGAGGCTCTTCTGGACCTCCTACAGACCTGGCTGTAACCAAAGTGGAATGGGGTACCTTCTAGTCCCCCACTCTCAGCCGTCCCCAACCTTCTCAGAACGCACTGGAAGTTCTGCTGAGCCACCCTCCTTCCTTCAGTCTACTCTCCATCCCTCCTTCTCCACACCCCAAGCCCATCCCCGTGGGTGTCTCCTGAGCAAACCTAGCGTTGTAATCCTGGATTCTGCAGGGGCGCAGGCGCGGCTCATCAGGCGACGGGACACTGAGATCACCCTGCGAACCCCAAGAGTCTGGATATCTCTCACGCTTGGAAGGTCTCTGGACAGTTGCCTTGCTTTGATGCCTGACTTGTCCTGTAAGCCTTGGCTAACCCTGTCGGTTCTGAAGCCCAGATCCCACAGTGTGGAAAGGATCTGGGGAGACATCCCCGTGTCCTTCCACGTGGCCGCATTAGCCCTGCGAGGGCATGGATTGGACGAGTCCCGCCACCTGAGCCCCTGGACTGCGCGCAGCCTCACCTTATGCGCCCAGGGCTGGGGAGCACCTCCGCGGGTCCCCGCGCCGCCCCTGTCCCGCCCCACCCTGCCCCGCCCCGCCTCGCCGGTCCCGGCCCTGCCCGCCCGCGCAGCGCTACTGCCCCTTCACACAAGACACCGCGTGGAGCCGTGGAGCCGTGCGGAGCCCATCCGCAGCCTGGAGTCCAGGACACCAAGGGTGCAGGCAGGTCAGACAGCGAGGGCTTCTTTGCGCGGTGAGTCTCAGCCATCCCGGGGGTGGGTGCTCTAAGGGAAGGGCCACGAGCACAGAGGGAGCCTCAGCTCCCACTTGTTTCCCAGGGAAGGGGAATTCCTGCCCGCTTGTGCCTGAGATCTTAGTCTAAGGCCAAAATGGGTGGGGGCTCTGTTAGGGTCTGCCCTCTTTCCCACCAAGGTTTTACAAGTCTGTACTCTTCTGGATTTAGGATTGCTGGGTGGCCTGACTTACTTGGGTTTAAGGAATCTCGTTGAGCCACCTCTAAAAACCAGAACATCATGCCGGGGAGGAACCTTTGGGCCTTTGTGGTTCATTCTTCCCTTGGGAACAGATCAATGTGCCTGTGGTCTTGATTCATCCTCGCCCACTCCACAGTCACCATTCTAGGACTTTGGGCTGGGAAAGTGACCCTGTGAGGCATGAACCAGGTAAGCCTTGTACTCTCCCTGGTTCTGCCACTGCCTGGAGCCTCTCACTCCTCCACCTCTTGACTGTATCTTCCTTTTAGAGTTGTTGGAAAGATCTGCATCCATGTTACTGTGTGAAACCTTAAAGGTTATCCACTCTCAAGGAGTAGCTATTAAGCATACCTTTCGCTTCACAGCCTGGCCTGAGAGCTTGTTTACCCATGTGTCTAGAGGCTGAGGACTACACTGATGTTTAGGGCCCAGGGTCCAGGAGACATGGCAGTAGGAATAGGGGTGAAAGGGTGAACATCCTGGGTATGAAAAGACCACTATAGCCATTTCAGCCAATCCAGCCTTCCATCTCCAACATCCGTCCAGAGCATAGGTCTTCAACATCCTCTCAAAGGCTCAGTGCGCGCGCGTGCGCGCTCACACACACACACACACACACACACACACTGGCAAGCATCTGAACACACTCCTCCAATGGATGAATGAAGTAGCAGAGGACTGCTAGCCGAGTTAGGATAAGGTCTAAATTTCTTCATCTGTTTGGTGGGAGCTAGGAATGGTGATGAAGTGATCCTTAAAAATCCCCCACCTCTGTGATTAGATAACCCATCCAGAGCCCTGAGAATTAGGATGGAGATGAAGTTTTCCCTAGTCCTCACTTTCCTCCCTATCCTCAGTCACCAATTACCTTTAGGAGGTATTCTCTGACCTTAGTCATTTCCTGTGCTTCTCAGGAGTCCCAGCCTGAGTCCCTTGAAGCCTCTTACCGACCTGTTGTCCTTGGGTGGTTTGTTGACTTATGGAGAGAGAGTAGGAGTTGGCATCAAACACATACCATCTAGTACTACATTTTGACTCCACATAAAGCATTCAGGCTCCAGCTTACTCCTTCATATCACATTTGCATAACACCTGCCACTTTATTTGAATCCCATTTCATTCCCATATTGATTCTGGCAATCAATGTATCAAGCTCGGGGAGGCAAGTCAGGCTTATTTACTTCTGTAGCCAGAAGAGGAAGCCAAGATCTAGACTGATTATGTTCTGTCTAGGACTGTGAACTAAGAGCAGGGCTGGCACCTCAGACCAGTCTTCTTGTCCGCAAGCAAGGCTCTGTCCAACGAAGGTGCTCTCTCTGTAAGAAGTTAGAGCAAAACAAGGTTTTCAAATCAATCTTAGGCAAATTCTGTGAAGGCAGGGATTTCTGTTCATTTTGTTCCTTGTTTAAATGATTGTTCCTAGGTCAGTGTCTGATACATAATAAGTGGATGTTCACTAAGTATTTGCTAAATGAATTAGACTTGTGAGGGAATATCCTGCTGATTGCTGCCCACTGTGACCTTCACTGGCTTGATTTCTCCAGAACAGCTGAAGCTCATTCTCTCACTCCTCTTTTTGCCCCCCCTAGAGTCTCCATTTTGGGGTGCTCCAGTAACTGGACCCTGTTATCATTTTCATCATGAGCTGCCAACTCACTCTGACATGGTCCCTCCTGTTTGGTTCATTGACTCCCATGGGTGAGTACAGATTGAGGAAGAAATAGAGCTGAGACAAAGGAACCCAGCATCTTCTGGCCTCCTCCAAGGACAGGAGCTGTTAAATCTCTGTGTCCTATTAATCTTTTTAGCCCTTGTTGTGGTTAGGTGCCATCGAGTTTACTACAGCTCATGGTGACTCTATGAACAACAGAGCTGAACTTTACCATATCATGCACCATCCTCATGATCTCTGATATGCCCTCACCCATTTTATAGTCACTGTGTCAGCCCATCTTGTTGAAGGTCTTCCTTTTTTCTCTGACCCTCCATTCAATCCTTATCCTAATCCTTAGTGTCAGCAGGTGTTAATTTCAAGTTTATTGAATAGAGAGATGGAGAATGGAATAAAAACTGTCACAAATCCAGGGAGTTAGGGACCTACTTATTTCATTCTTGGTAGTTTAGGGATCCTTTCTCTTTCCTCTGTCTTCTCTATTTTTCCAGAAAGTAAGGGCTTCTCACCCCAAATAGGGAAAGGTTGTCTTTATATAAGACAGTAAAGCATCTTGAATTGTATTGACCCAAAGCAAATGGGAAGTCATTGATGTCTTAAAATAACATTATGATAGATGGACAAAAAGATTGAAGTTGCCAACCATTTCATTTTACTTGGATCTATAATCAATATCCATGGTAGCAAAAGACAAGAAATTAAAATATATGTTGCACCTGGGAAAATATTCTGTCTAAATCTTCTTTAAAGTGCTAAAGAGCAAGGATGTTAGTTTAAAGACTAAGTTGCACCTGGTCCAAGCCATGAAATTTTCAGTTTTTATATGCATGTGAAAGTTGGAATTTGTGAAGAAAATTAAAGGTCATTAAAAAGACAGAAAAGAAAAAAACCGAGATGTATGTCAGAAGAAACTCTGAAACTTGCTCTTCAATGTAAGAGAAGTCAAATCAAGGAAAGATGAGAAGACTACAGAGTCACTATGTCAAAATTGGCTGGTGCTGAGCCATTTCAGGAAGTAGCATATTATAAAGAGCCAGTGGTATTGAAGGAAGAAGTCCAAACTGCACTAAAGGCAAAAAAATATGGCTCCAAGTATTGATGAAACACCAATGGAGGTGTTTCGGTGCTAGTCTGCCAGGAAATTTGAAAGACAATTATCTGGTCAACTGACTGGAAGAGATCCATATTTATTCCCATTCCAAAAAAGAATGGCCCAACAGAGTGCAGAAATTATCAAACAATATCAACATCACAAGCAAGTAAAATACTCCTGGAGATTATATAAAAGTGGCTGGGATAAGTACATCTATAGGAAAGTGCCAGAAATTCAAATTGAATTCAGAAGAGACTGGAAGTGGAGGAGTATCATTGCTAATGTCCTATGGATCCTGTCTGGGGGTAGAGACTGTCAGAAAGATGTATACTTGTGTTATATTGTCTATGCAAATGCATTTGACCATGTAGATCATAATGAATTATGTATAGCATTGAGAACAATGAGAATGTTAGAAGACTTAATTATGCAAATGTGGAACCTGTGGAGGGGGAAGGGGGGAAGCAGTCTTTTGAATAGAACAGGTTTCCTTATTAAAAATCAAGAAAGGTGTGTGTCAGATTTGTATTCTTTTACCATATCTATTCAATCTATATGAGCAAGTAATTCGAGAAGCTAAACTATATGAAGAAAAATGTGATATCATCAACAACCTACTTTACTCACAAAGATAAAAAAGTACAGCCTTGTATATGGATTGTGCCTCAACCTCAAGAAAACAAAAATCTTCACACCTGGGCCAATAACCAGCATCATTAATAGATGAAGAAAAGATAGAAGTTTCCAAGAATTGAGTTTTATTGGAATCTGCAATCAAACTCGTGGTAACAGAAATAAGGAAATAAAAAGACACTTTACATTAGGCAAACCTACTATCAAGGACCTCTTTAAAGTGTTAAAGAGAAGTATGTCATTTTAAAGACTAAGGAGAACCTGACTGAAGCCACGGTATTTTAAATTACTTCTTATGCATGTGAACATGGGACAATGAATAAGGAAGGAAGACCAAAGAAGAATCAATGCCTTTGAGTTGTGGTGTTAGAGAAGAGTATTAGATATCATTGACTGCCAAAAGAACAAATTGTTCTCAGAGGAAGTGTAACTAGGGTGCTCCTTACAGTCGAGGGTGGTGAAACTTCTCATATACTTTGAACATGTTGTCAGGAGAAGTCTTTGGAAAAAGACATCATGCTAGGAAAAGCAGAGGATTTGTGACAGAGAAAAGACCTTCAGTGAGATACACTGATGCAGTGACTACAACAGTAGTCTTCAGTATGGTGGAGATTGAGGCTAGTGTAGGAATAGGGCAAGGTTTTGATCTGTTGCTATGAGTCATAGTGTTGCTATGGGTCAGATTCTGTCACTTGATGGTACCCAACAACAACATCCTTCAACTTCAGACAGATGTTTTACTAGAATCTGAGATCTCAGTGCATAGTTTGAGTCTCTGAGGAGGGAAAGGGTCTTTAAGTGGCTCAGAGTTAAAAAGAGCAAGTCCCTAGTCATCATTAATGGGAGTTTCAAGAATAAGAAGCAGAGAAAACCTGTGAATTCTCTAAACTAGCTGAAGGCAACAGGATGGTAAGATGGCTTGTAGCTCTCCCTTGTCCAAGCTGTTTATGTTCATATTCCTCTCTTTGCTTTCAACCTGGATTTTCCTTTACTGCTAGAGGTCAATTGGCAGAACCATGATAGAGAAGAGATTGAGGTTGTTTATAATTATAACTTGCTTGGCTCCACAATCAACACTCTTGGCACCAGTATTCAGGAAATCAAAAGATAAATTGCATTGGAAAAATCTACTGTCAGGGACCTCTCCAGAGTGCTGAAAAGCAACGATGTCAGTCTAGAGACTAAGGTGTGTCTAATTCAGGCCAAAGTCTTCAAATTACTTGTTATGCTTCAGTGAGCTAGACAATGACAAACGATGATGGAAGAAGAATCGATGCCTTCAAATTGTGGTGTTGGACAAGAGTTTTGAAAATACTATGGACCATCAAGAAAAGAAATAGTTCTGTCTTGGAGAGGGTGAGACAAAGTCTCTTCTTAGAGGCTAGGATTTTTAAGCTCAGTCTCACATATTTTGGGCCAGGAAAGATCTGTCCTTGGAGAAGGACATCATGCTTGGAAGGGTGGAGGGACAGCACAGGAGAGGAAGACCCTGGATGGATTGATACAGTGACTGGGGCAATGGGGGTTGGTGTGTCAGAATTAGTGAGACTGGCTCAGGACAGGGAAGGGTTTCAGAGCTGCTGTACAGAGGGTTTTTATGGATTGCAGGTGACTTGATGGCACATAGCAACAACAACAACGACAACAACCTGAGGTCTTGCTCCTCCTGTTTTCAAGAAGCACTCTCCCATACCTTCCCTAAGGAGTGCCCTCCTTGCTTTGCCACCAGGTCATCTTTTCTTAGAAGTCACACATATGTAATCCCTTAATCTCTGCCCCAATTCCTGTAACTTTAGATAAGTTATTTTCTCTAACATCAGAATCTTGATTCATTTTCTCTTCCTGACCTTCAGGTTAGCATATTTGTGTGGGGGTTGGATTGAAGAGTAAGTTAGTAGCTGCATGATCCTATTCTTGGTCTGAGTAGGGAAACAAATGAAATTAATGGAGTTCCTTCCCTCCGGTTGATGAGCGTCCTTTCCTTTGCTCTATTCCCTGAGGAGAGAAGAGGAAGCCACAGTCCTGTCTCATAGTTTGGAGAAAAGAATCTGGTTAGTCTTCTGATCTAGTGACCAGAATCTGTCTACCACACCAACCTCACCTCTAATTCAGAACCTTTTTTTAAAGCCTGAGTTCTTAACCCAACAGCTGAGTGCTTCTTCCATGACCCTAACTTTTAGAGAGCACCATGGAGTTAAGAGAAAGAATTTTATGGGGGCATGATGTCCCATAGAGAAAAGGAGTGACATCACCTTTGGCCAGCTCAGTTCCTGACCCAACCCAAGAAACTGGGATAAATACCAGTGTAGCAACAGGCCCCAGAGCTTCAGCTCAGTGAGTCCACACCCTTGCCCTGGGCTCTGCTCAGCCAGAAAGGGCAAGGCCCTTCTCCACATTACCCCTGCCCAGGGTTGGGTCACAGAATGACACAAGTGTGGGGTACAGCTGGCTATTGTCCTGTAGGATGTCTTAGGTCTGGGAAGCTCTCAGTGCCTCTGTGTCCCCCAAGGTATTGAGGTGCAAGGGGAATGGGCAGCTGTTATATCCTCTATCCCACTGCCACTCTTCTCATCTCAGTGGCTGTTTGCATAAATGGCACCTTTATTTTGACATGCCCCATCTCCCTGACTGAGCAGCTTAAAGAGTGGGCTTTGTGTTGCCCTAGTTCTCTCTCTCTCTGCACCCTAACCCCCACATCTGGGTGTTGAGTGCCCATTCTTTTTCTACTCCAAATGCCAAACTCACAGGTCTCACATCCTCCAGGCCCTTTCAGCCTCATCTCCTTTCTCACCTAGGATCTCTGAATGCCATTTCATGGGAGGTGCAGCGATTTGATGGATGGTACAACAACCTCAAGGAGCACAGATGGGGCATCAAAGGTAGGTAAGAGCCAAGTGGAGACAGATCCCCAAAGCCAGAGTGAGTACTTGTGGCTGAGGGACAAAGACAAGGCCCACTCATTTCCAAGGTTCCAGGAGAAAGAAGGTGAAGGTGGCCCCCTGCAGAATCATCCTTGTTCTACCCCTCCCACTAGGATCTAGGCTGCAGCGCCTGGTTCCAGCCAGCTATGCAGATGGCGTGTACCAACCCTTGGGAGAACCTCACCTTCCCAACTCCAGAGACATCAGCAACACTGCCATGAGGGGCCCTGCTGGGCAGGCTTCACTGCAAAACCGCACAGTGCTGGGAGTCTTCTTTGGTGAAGATCTCAACCTCTAGTGGAGAGGGACCAGTGGATTAGGCTGGCCTGTGTGTGGGCAGGGAGTTGATTAGGAAATGGGGGAGAAAAGTGGTGGTGGTGGTGGTGGTGGTGGTTCTTATGTGCTGTTGACTTGCCTGCAACTCATAGCAACTCTATGCAAAATAGCTAAGAAATGATGGGTGAAGGATAGGTGTTTGGGTACGGTTAGAGTGCAGAGCAGAAGGAGGAAAGATTGAGGCTGAAGTAGAGTCTGGTTGAGAAAAGCATAAATCTGTCCCACTTCAGTGCATGTGGCAGTAATTGGTGAAGTTAAGGTAGAGACAGGAGCGTGAACATAATCTGATGAGCATATTTATTGATGCCTTGTCCTCTTGTGCTCCTGTAACTCTTAGGATGACTCATGATAGGGTTCTGATGCAGGCAGAGGGTTGAAAGGAGGTCAGATTAGGGTGCTAGTAGTTAAAGGTCTGTAGCCCAGAAAGGAGTATCTGACTCCTGCTGCCCATCTAGGGAATCTGTACTTGCTTCCCAAAGCCCAACATCCCACCAAGGCTGCCAGGCCTCTGGGCGTGTTGGAGCGGGTGCTGCCAGCCCACTTGTCTAGGCATCACTGGGTACCTCCCAGTTACCCAGGAGAAGGCCAATCTAGTGATGACAACAACTTGGGCCAGGGTGTGAATACTGCTCAGCCAGGACAGAGGCAGTGTTGGGAAGAGTGGTCCTGGCGAAGTCGGGGTTTGGGTTTGCAGTAATAGCTGCTGGGGGGTTGATGCTTTAAAGGGAGTGGTCCTAGCACCTTCCCTCTCTCTGGGGGGCAGGATATCACGTCCTCTCAGACCTGGTGAGTGTGGACAGACCTGGCTGCCCTGCTGAGTTCCTCAACATCCGCATCCCGCCCGGAGACCCCGTGTTCGATCCCAACAAGCGCGGGGACGTGGTGCTGCCTTTCCAGAGGAGCCGCTGGGACCCTGAGACCGGACAGAGCCCCAGCCACCCCCGGGACCTGGTGAGACCAGGCAGGCGGCGGGCGGGCCGCACGGGGGCAGAGGGGGTCCAGACCCGAAGAGGAGGGCAGCCCCTCCCCCGAGCACCGCCTGGCCTGCGTCTACCTTGGTCCCCCCTCATCCTCTCCCCGCAGATCAACGAGGTGACCGGCTGGCTGGATGGTAGCTCCATCTATGGTTCCTCACACTCCTGGAGTGACGCGCTGCGGAGCTTCTCTGGGGGACAGTTGGCGTCTGGGCGGGACCCCGCCTTCCCTCAGGACGCACAGGAACCCAAAATGATGTGGAATGCTCCCGACCCCGCCACGGGCCAGCGCGGTCCCCAGGGGCTGTATGGTGAGGCCGAGGGGTGGGGGAACCCTTCACTGGGCACCGGGGCCTCGTCGGAGGCAGTGGGTGGGGGTCCGCGGTGTTGGGCGTCCCTGGTCACCCTGTCCCCCATTTCCCCCTGCCCCCCACGTTGGATGCAGCCTTCGGAGCGGAGCAAGGAAACCGTGAGCCCTTCCTGCAGGCGCTGGGGCTGCTGTGGTTCCGCTACCACAACGTGTGGGCGCAGAGGCTGGCCAAGGAGCACCCGCACTGGGGGGACGAGGAGCTGTTCCAGCACGCGCGCAAGAGGGTCATCGCCACCTACCAGGTCTGCTGCACCCCCGCGACCTCTCACTGAGCCCCCAAGTCCTGTCCGCCCTCACAGAGGCTCTGTTGTCTGGCAACCCTTAGCCAGACACATCTATTTGGAGCTAGTGCCTGGTAAAGCCGCTGAAAATTGTAAGGAGACAAAGCACTATTTATACAAGAGTTGTTATTTGTGATTAATATTTAGCCCTAGCCCCCACAACGCCTTCATCCCCCCACAGGACCGACCCAGAGTTGTAACTTAGCAACAGACCTCTCTACTCCTTTCATTGGGAGGCCTGGCCCTAATCTTCACACCTAAGCGTTCCATAACTCAAAAATTCCGAAGTCACTGCTGTAGAATCAGTTTCAACTCATAGGGATCGCCCGTCGGCTTACTGAGGCAGTAAATGAGAGGAGACCACCCATCTTTCACCCAAACAGCAGATAATGGATTTGAACCACCAGCGACAGCCTTTGGATTAATATTGGACAACTCACTTAAAACCTCAAACTCCTGTTAAACTTTGTCACTGCTACTGGGGTGAGATGGTATCTCAGTGTGGTTTTGATCTGCATCTCTCTTATTGCCAGGGATTTTGAGCATTTCTTCATGTCTATTGGCCATCCAAATATCTTTCTCTGTAAAAGTCTTTCCATGTCTTTTGCCCATTTTGTAACTGGATTATTGGTCTTTTTCTTTTGGAGGCCCTGTAGGAATCTATAAACATTTGTTATGAGATCCTTATCTGAGATAGTATTGCCAAATATTTTTTTCCTAGCCAGTAGATTTTTCCTTTTATGCTGTTGGGAAAAGTTTTTTTTTTAAATAAATAAAATTAAATTTTATACTGGTTTATTTACAAAGTTTGAATACATTGTTTTTCATACCAGATCTTTCCTGTTTCCTTCACTTCCCCCTTCATGCATCAAATTGTGTGACCCTATGGAAAAAGTTTTTGATGCTCACAAAACTTTAGAAGGGAATTAATCCCTAGAAGTTCCCATTCATCAATTTTATCCTCTCCTAGTTGTGTATTTCTGGCTGTATTTGTCAGCCTCTTTATAACATAGTCTAGGCCTTCTAAGCTTAGTCCCACTTTGTTTCTTATTATTTTTATAGTTTTGGCCTTTACGCCTAGTTTCTGATACCTTGAGTTGATTTTCGTTTATGGTGAGAGGTGAGGATCCTGCTTCTGTTTTCTGCAGGTAGCAGTCCAGTTTTGCCAGCACCTTTTGTTGAAGACTTTGTTGTTTCACCATTTGATAGGTTTTGTTACTTTGTTGATTACCAGTTGACCAGATAGGTGGGTTAATTCCTGGGTTCTTGACTCGGTTCCTTTGGTCTATGTGCCTGGACAGCAAGCAATAAATGTTGGAGAGGATGCAGAGAAATAGGAATTCTCATACACTGTTAGTGGGATTGTAAAATGGTACCACCACTCTGGAAGGCAGTTTGAGATTCCATATGACCCAGCTATTCCATTGCTAGGAATATACCTCGAAGAAATTAGAACTGAGATGCAAATGTACCTGCATTCATAGCAGCGTTTTTCACAATCTCAAGAACTCACAAGCAGCCCAAATATCCAACCACAATAGAATGAATTAAGAAATTCTAGTACATTCATATGATGGAATATTATATAGCATCCAGAAGAAATGTTTTGAAAAATTAATGCATAATTTGGGAGAGACTGGAGAGCATTATGCTGGGTGAATTCAGTCTCATAAGGGCAAGAACTGTATAAGAACATTATTGTATAAACATAAAGATAAGTAGTAAAACATGTATGAGGATGCAAGGGAGAGAGGTAGGGAGCAGAGGGGTGAGAATGGTCGGAGGGAAATCATAGGGTCACACAATTTGGTGGGTGGAAGAAGGGAGGGGGATAAAGGAAGTTAAAAGATCCAAAAGGCATCTGGAAAGACAGGGTAATTGTGGGCATAGCTCACAATTAATAATAAATTAATTTAAAAAAAACAAAATTAGTGGGAATGATTGTATGAAAACACAATGTGAATGAAGGATATTGTGAAACACAATGTATGCAAACTTTGTAAGCAAGCCAATATAAAATAAAAATTTTAAAAAGAAAATGATGAATCGGGGGGGAAACCCCTAACAACCAACCTCAAACTCATTGTTGTTGAGTCAGAAACAACTCATAATTGACCTTCCAGTCAGTTTTCAGAGGCAATAAATCTCATGGTAGGAGATTGCTCATCTTTATTCAGCAGAAAAGCTGATGGATTTGACCTCCCCTACTTTGAGATGAGCTAGATAATGAATAAGAATGACAGAAGAAGAATTGATACCTTGGACTTGTGGTGTGCAGAAGAGCACTGAATATCCCAAGGACAGTAAAAAAACTGAACTGATACATCTTGGGAAAAGTGTAACCAGAGTGCTCCTTGGAAGCAAGAATGACAGAGCTTCAGCTCATGTAATTTGGACATGTTGCTAGGAGGAGTTGTTCCTTGGAGAAGGAAAATCATGCTTGGAAAGGTGGAGAGTCGACTGAAGAGAGAAGACATCCCCCCCTCTCCCATGAGGTGGATTGACATCGTGACTGCAGCAATGGGCTCAAGTGTATCAGAGATGATGAGAATGGCACAGGATAGAACAAGATTCAAGTCTGTTGTTCATAGGGTTGCTATGATTCATATTCAACTGACAACAATAACCTAAAAACAACTGCGAAATGGCAGCACAACTCCCTACTGACTAGGTCACCAGAGCTCACTGCTGCTGCTTTGTACCATTGAGAGGGAACTGACCTTAGCTGACCCTCTAGCCGGTTTTTAGAGGCAGTAAATCACATGAGAGAAATGCCCATCTTTTGCCTGCAAAACAGTTGGGGGATTTGAACACCGAACCTTTGAGTTGGCAGTGTAATTCCTTACCACTAAGCCACCAGAGCTCCCTAAGGAAGTACCAAAAGCCACTAAACTCAGGTTACTTACTCCCTCCTCCCCTCCATCCTGCCTTCTCCTGTCACACATCCATACCCCACCACTTTATACCCCCTGCACACAGGTTTTCTAGTCTAAGCCTCCCCTCCCCTGGCATTTCTCATTTCCTCTTGTCCCTCTTCTTGCCCTTTAGAACATTGCTTTCTATGAGTGGCTGCCCACCTTCCTGCAGAAGATGCCCCCAGAGTATGCAGGTGAGAGGAAGATGAGGGAGGGTGTGAGTTTGAGGAGCAGTGTAGGAGTAGGCTGGGTTGATTTAAGTACTAAACTCTATCTTCTTCCATCCTCCCAGGGTACCAGCCATTTCTGGACCCCAGCATCTCGCCGGAGTTTCTGGCAGCCTCTGAACAGTTCTTCTCCACCATGGTGCCCCCTGGCGTCTACATGAGGTCAGGAAAGGAGCTCAAATGCAGTTTTGTTTGTGCAAGGTTGTTGTTGTTGTTTGTTGTTATGTGGCATCAAGTAACTTACGACTCATAGTGACCCTATGCACAACAGCCCTGTAACGTGCTCTATCCTGCCAACTTTACTGTCTCTGATACACCTATCCTCATAACCCCAGTCACAGAATCAATCCATCTTATCGAGGGTCTTCCTCTCTTTCTCTGTCCCTCCACTCTTGCAAGCATGACGTCCCTCTCCAAGGGCTGGTTCCTCCTTGCAACATGTCCAAAGTATATCAGACGAAGCCTCAGAATCCTTGCCCCAAGGAACTGCCTGGTTTAATTCTCTCTAGGATGAGCCTGTTTGTTCTCTTGGCAGTCCATGGTATATTCAATACTCTTCTCCAACACCACAGCTCAAAGGCATCAATTCTCTTTCAATCATCCCAAGTCATTGCCCAACTCTCTGATGCATAGCAAGCAATTGCAAAGACTATGGCCTGAATCAGGCATACCTTAGTCCCCAGACTGGTATCATTGCTCTTTGGTATTGTGGAGATGTGGTGCAAGATTAGATGACAAAAATTTGCCTTCAGGAGCTCACCAAGCCAAAATTAAACCCACATTGATTCATGGAACTCTTCTAACAAAGTTCTGAGGTGGTACATTTTAACTGAACAAAACTGCCTCATCTTTTTCCTGGTCCACTTCAAGAGCCATCAAAACACAGATATGGACCTAAGGTGGCCATCCTTCCAGGGAATAGTGAGTATCAGGAGGGAGGAGTTAACATCAGAAGGTAAATAGACAGCATTTTCAATATGGCATGATCTACCAAAAGAATAAATAAATCTGTCTTAAAGGAAGTACAGTCAAAAAAAAATTACTCCTTAGCAGCAAAGATAGTCAAACTTTGCCTCATATATTTTTGGTGTATTATCAGAAGAGAATCAGCTCCTGAAGAAAGACAGACATCATACTTGGTAGAGGGTCACAGAAAAGGAGGAAGACCCTCAATGAGGTAGTTTGGCACAGTGCTTGCAACAATGGGCTTTAAGCACAAACAGAGATTGAGAGGTGGTGCAGGTCAGGCAATTTTGTTCTATCACGTAGATTCTCTGTGAGTCTGAGCTGATTCCAAAGTACATAGATAGCAACAACTATGTAAGTATATGCACAGATATGTATATTCTCTTGTAACTGGTATAGATTCCAATCCCTTGACTAAAGATGGACTATTTGAGGCTCAGGGACCCCTAGAAAATAGTGGTTAAATTGCTCAGCTGTTAACCAAGGGTCAGTGAATGGAACCCACCAGCTGATCTCTAGGGAAAAGATGTCAACGTCCTAGATATTTACAGCCTTGAAACTATATAAGGGAGTTATGTCCTATCCTGTAGAATCACTATGAATTGAAATCAACTCTGTGGCAGTGGGTCTGGTTTTCTGTTTTGGTTAATTGAGTCTCAGAAGGTGAGTCTCATTACATAGCCTGCTGAATCTGAATCACAGTTTTTGACACTACATTGGGGGCATTTTTACTTATAAACACAGTTCTGAGATTTACAGACTTTGAGGGTGGCATTATATATATATATGTATATATATATATAAAATTATGTGAATGGTGGAAAAAATATTAGCTCTGAAATAAAAGAGAAATGGAAAATTAATATATAATATTTCATTCAGTGCACATGAAACAAAACATGCAAGCTTTTTGCTGAATTTTTGTGATCATTTAAATAAATTTATAGATTATATTATTTTACTCTGTAACTCCTAGATATGCCTTATAATGACTAAGAAATCTTAGACTAAAGTGATCCAGAGGGAAGTAATTATAAGAAACAAACAAGAATCCTGCAACTTTGCTAAATTCACTTATTAGTTCTCATAGTCTGCTGTTGTCATTATTATAGTTCCTTTGAAATTTTATATACTGTTATTTGTGAGTAAAGATTTTGCCTTTTCCCTTTAAAAATAGAAAAACCTTTAAAAAGAAATTAAAGAAACAGGCAGACTGAATAACAATGAAAGAACTTTTTTTCCCAGAGAAAAAAGTGAACTATCAGGGAGCCAGGGAGGAAAATGTGCAACAATGAATGAATGGAAATCCAAGTTCTTTTTAAACTTTCATTAAAATCTCAATTTTAAAAAACCCTCAAAGAAACAGTTAAAATGCCCTAAAATATTTAGTTACATGTGCATATATATAGATTATAAATTATATATATAGGAGGCCAGAGATGACAGAGCCCGTAGTCTGTCACTGCTTCCCCCGTTTCCTGCCTTTCAGAAATGCCAGCTGCCACTTCCAGAAGGTCCTCAACCAGGATTCAAGTATCTCTGGAGCTTTCCGAGTCTGCAACAGCTACTGGAACCGAGAGGTCAGGACTGTGTATGGGGCAGGTGGGGGAGGTATGGGAGTGTGTCTCTGCACTGGAATAGACTGAGATGGAGGAGGCTGCTCTGGGAATCTCTGCAATTTGCTTTACCAATGTCCAACATCACAAGGCAAAAATCAGAGCTGCGAGAGAGAACAGGGGGGCCTATGCAGGTGAGGTCTTACATTCATTTCTGCTTCCTAGATTCTTTCTCTTCCTTGACAGATCTGAGCCTCAGAGGCTTCTGAGTATTCCAGGCATCCAAGCCCTGAAACTACCCAGTTTAGCATTTTCAGGGGAACATATTTGTATGTGTGTGTGTGGTCACGTGCATGAGCATATATGTGATTCTAACAGATTACTAAAGATTCCATCCAAACCAGGTCAGTGTAAGAGAACAATCTTTTAAAATAAAATCAGATACTTTGTTCTCAAGTAGTGAGTTCACAAACTGAAAGAAGGATAGGAAGAAAAGAGAAAAAGCAAAGAGTCATATAGCTGAGCTTAAAGAAACCACTTTTAAACTGATACCCTTTTTATAAAAGGAAGACACTGAGAGATTCTGAGATCTGTGAGCTGCCTGCAGTTGTTCAATGACAGGAATATGATCAGGACCTAGATTTTTCAGTGCCTTTGTCAACCACACAGCTATGAGTCCTAAGACAGAAGACGTTTTGAGGCCCTTTGTGCTGTGGAAACATGCTCCCCACAGCATAGTCTTTGGATTGGGGCATCACTCTCTGAATCAAGAACCAGCCTGAGGAGAGGGCTAGCCCACCAGTGAGGAGCAAACGGTAGATCTGGGTGGACTCAGGGACATGGGCTGTGAAATGGAGGAAGCCTGGCAGCTCTGTCTCTGGCCTCATCAGCCACACCTCTCTTCCCAACCCCAAAGCATCCCAACCTACAAAGTGCTGAAAATGTGGATGCACTGCTGCTGGGCATGGCCTCCCAGATTGCAGAGCGAGAGGACCATGTGGTGGTTGAAGACCTGCGAGGTAAGGCTGAGACAGTCTGTGAACCCTGAACTTTGGGAGGAGGTTTGGTTGGAGCCCCACCCCAGGCATGGTGAGATGTCCGAGGCCAGGAGCTTGCACTGCATTTGCCATTGGAAGACTTCAGATCTACTGATCATGGCTCTGGTCTCCTTGGAGCTGGTTGGAACTTGGGGCCTGGGCTGGAATTCTCTCTGACTCTCTGGTGTCTCATCCACAGATTTCTGGCCTGGACCACTGAAGTTTTCCCGTACAGACTACTTAGCTAGCTGCCTGCAGCGTGGCCGGGATCTGGGTCTACCTTCCTATACTAAGGCCAGGGCAGCACTGGGGCTACCTCCCATTACCCAATGGCAGGACATCAACCCTACACTCTTCCAGAGCAATCGCAATGTAAGAAGGAGTCGGGACCCAAAGGACAGGGTGGGAGGACCAGGGCAGTTGGCCCAAGGCAAGGAAAATGGGCACTGAGACATGGACCCCTGAGACCAGAACCTGATGGAAGTCAGGACTCACCAACGTAAAATGTTCTAATATCACACACGTGGGTGGAGTCTACCAGACCAGCAGGATTCAGCTCTGAACTCTGTGTGCCCAGCTACAGCAGACATTTATTGTGTATGTAGTATATGCTAGGCACTTAATAGATACTATCTCATTTATTCTTTCCTAGCAACCCTTTGAGTGGGTATAGAAGGTCCTTAGTTTTGGAGCAAGCTGTGCTTCATTTCAGCTCTCTTTGGTCAGCTGTCACACTCCGTGCTGTCTTGCCCATAGCCAACAGAACAGCTTCAGCTGACTTACCATCCTTGGAGAGCAGTGTTTCTGCAATTATGTGCTTGTTATTACATCTCACCCCTCCTATATTGTAAAATGGTTTTGAAATGGAGACTTGAGGAACATAATACAGAAGTGATATGTGCATGGGCTCAAAACTTTTATAGAATTGATAAAAAAAAATAGGAACTACAAGGTACACAAGTGTATTGACTCTTTAGCTTCAGTGAGATCTAATTGGAGTTAAACTGGTGTGTGCTTCTTGAATTATGAAGAACTGAAGTAAAGATCAAGTAAAAAGTGCTGAGACTCTATTGCTTAAGACTATTTCTAGAAGACAATGTATAATTGGGAATTTTTACATAGCTCTAAAAGAATGAGAACTCCTTATCACAGTGTTCTATCATTCAAATGTTGCACTTACTAATTTTGCCTCTTCAACTTTCACATTTTTTTCAAGAGTAAGTTATGTGCAAAGATTGGGATGGACTGCCTTTTTTAAAATTCCAGTTTATAAAATAGGCAGCTGAATATGTGAGAGGCTTGCTAGAAATGAGTTAACTGAAAACACAGAGGGTGGCTCCTAAAGCCTACTAAGTGTTATATAGTTGTCAGTTATTGTTACTGTCATTATTATTTATCCTGAGGCCAATCCCTGAGAGCCACCTCTTTGCCCAGAGCTGATATCCTATCCTTTCAATCATTGCTGCCCTTTTGTATCCCCAGGTGCTGGAGGCCACAGCTGCCCTCTACAACCAGGACATCTCCCGGCTGGAGCTGCTCCCTGGGGGGCTCCTGGAAAGCCATGGTAACCCGGGACCCCTCTTCACAGCCATTGTCTTTGATCAGTTTGTGCGACTGCGAGATGCTGACCGCTACTGGTTTGAGAACACAGGGAATGGGTAAGGCCGGCCTGCCTGCCTGAGGTCTCACCCTCTCTCTGACCCCAACAATGGCCATCATTTCTTGATTCCTGGTTTACCTCACAACTTCGTCCCCAACCCTTCTGGATCTCTTCCTCTGGGTCCTTGAGTAGTCTCTTTTCCACAATAGCTCCCATCCTCTCTACTCAACAGGCTGTTTTCAAAGGAAGAGATTGCAGAGATCAGAAATACTTCCCTAAGGGACATCCTAGTGGCCGTCACCAAGATGAATCCCAGTGCTGTGCAGCCCAATGTCTTTATCTGGCATGCAGGTAAGTGTGCAGGGAATAACTGGAGGAAGACTGAGCCCAGAGCCCAGTCCCTCTCAGCCCTGCGTTTTGCCTCAATGTGTGTGGCTGGACAGTAGCTCCAAAGGAGAACTGAGTCACAATTCCGCCCATGGAAATTTGGTTCTGGGTTCCAGAGCGGTTCCACCCAAAGGTGTAGGTTCCTCTCTGCACAATTACGGGGACCCCCAGAAGTAATGATCCTGCTCCCTCCAGCTCTGCTGGGCCACAGAGGTGCCTGAGTGAAGGCAGGACCAAGAGTTAGAATTGGTGTGGTGGTTCCCATTCTGGCTGAGGGAGGATGTGGCACTCGGAGGTAATGACTATGTCTTTGATGCCACAGCAGTAGAGAGAGGAGGGCTGTGTGGTATGTGTGAGGAATAGACAAGGATGAAGGCTCATTTTTCACCCCAGTTGTTACCCAAGAAGGCAAATGCCACATTCCTCATAGGGTGGCAAGAGTAAGCAACTTCTCCCCTGCCACCAAGGCTCCTTGCCCTCTTTCTACTACTCTCACCTGCTCAGTGAGCTTGTGGTCCCTGCACCTCCACAACCCTGCTTTCCTCTGCCTCCTCAGGAGACCCTTGTCCTCAGCCAAGACAGCTCAGCACTGAAGGCCTGCCAGCCTGTGTGCCTCCTGTTGTTCGAGACTACTTTCAAGGCAGAGGCTTTGGTTTCGGAGTCACCATCGGGATTCTCTGCTGCTTCCCACTGGGTAAAAATAATGGGCAGGGTGGAGCTGGGTGAAGTTGTGAAAGATGGGGTAGAGGATCCATCTGTGACAGTAAACTGCCAAGTGTTGCCCTTCTGGGCGGGAAGCCAGAAAGGAGGGGCATAAGTTTCTGACCTGCAGATAAGTCATCTCTGGAGAGAATTGCTTCCACTTCTCTGAGGGTCAGGAGCCTTGAGGAGTTTACAGTCCACTACTCTTTCTAAGATCCTGGGCCTGTCTGTCTCAGGCAAACTCCTGTTTCAGAAACAGAGCTAGGGGAGCTCTGGTGGCCTAGTGGCAAGGACCTGCAACTACAATCCCAGAGGTGCACGGTTCGAATCCACCAGATGCTCTGCCGGGGAAGGAGGGACAATTTCCTCCTGTACCAGTCAGATCTGATTTGATGGTACACTCACACAAAAATTAAAAAAAATAATAATAAATAAATAAAAATAAAAAGGAAACAGAGCTGAGCCAAAGTCTCTAGGGTCAGTGTTTAGGACATAATCTTTGGCAAGAATGTTGAGAGGTTTGACCATCAGTATGGGAGTGGTCACATTTGGTACAAGGATTCTAGAACTAGTTTCTGTCTGGGACAGGTCCCAGGTGGTGGAAGCAGGAGAGGTTGAGCAGGCATCTTGGATGCTAGCCAAAGCTCCTTGTAAGATGCAAAGCACCTTCCCTGATCTCAGGGAATATCACAGCTTGAGACAAGTGAGGGGCCAGGGACCCAAGAAACAGAGGCAGCATGGAGTCTTGCCAAGGAAAAGATCTGGGGAAGGAGTCTGCTATCTCCCCCAGACTCTTGCTTTCCCCTGAGCATCCTCTGGCACTCACCCCTGTCCTCCTAGTTAGCCTGCTCAGTGCCTGGATTGTTGCCCGGCTCCGGAGCAGAAGTTTCAAGAGGCTCCAGGGCCAAGACCGCCAGAGCATCATGTCTGAGAAGCTCATAGAGGGTGTGAGAGGTACGTCTTGGGGCAAATCAGGGTGAGAGTGGGGAGCACACATTTCCAGGAAGCCTCCACCTTTGCCCCAACAGCCTATTGAAAAGCCTTCCTTTTTCTGGAACTGGTCAGGGCAGATGAGAAATGCCACAGTAGAACTAGAAGCTCCACCTGGAGTCCCTTAACCTCCATCACTTCTTTCAGTGGTCCCAAAGAATGAGAATGTGATAGTTGCATGGAGGTCCCATGACTGCCTACATTTGACGCGTCACTATGACTCCCAAATCCCTAAGAACTGCTGCACTGTGTGTGGCATCACATACTGGAATTTCAGGCAGCAGAAAAGTAAAAAATGCAAGTCTAGAGTCAGACTGACTTGAGTTTGGAATCGAATGACCATTTTGGGTTAGGGGACCTAAGGCAGATATTTTAATATTTCTAAACCTAGTTTTTCTTATCTGTAAAATACTAATTGCCTTCACCTTTTAGGTTTGTGAAGATTCAGGAAACAGTTCATACAAAGCCCTTTGTAATATTAGGTATATGCAGTCACTCGGGAAATGTAAGACACTGTTCTTCTCATGGGCTAGAAGCACAGCAGGACTGTCAGGGAAGGGATGACCACCAGTACCCAAGAAAGAGACAGCCAGCTGCTGGAGGCTTCTATCTAACTCCAGCCTTGAGCTGGCCTTCTTACCCCTGTGCCTCTGGGACTGGTGGACTCTCACTGACCCACCCCATCTTCCGCCAGTTCTGGAATGGCAAGGTCGGAAGGAGCCCTGCCGCCCTGTGCTTGTGCACCTGCAGCCAGGCCAGATCCGGGTGGTAGATGGCAGGCTCTCCGTACTCCGTACTGTTCAGCTGCGGCCACCACAGCAGGTCAACCTCATCCTGTCCAGCAACCACGGACGACGTACTCTGCTGCTGAAGATCCCCAAGGAGTATGACCTGGTACGGTCCAGCTCCTTATCGGGCAGGAGTACTGGTCCAGGAAGCAGGCTTCTGAGATTTAGTTCCTAGATAAAACTGGTAAACCTAATAGGTTAATACATGTGAATATATCTGTCCTTCCTTGAGTCTGCTCAGGGACATGGTCTCCACAATCCCTTCTACTCTTAAAGATGAGACTGTCTCCTCCCTTTCTAAGGACTTCCCAGTTGGTCCTAGCTGGGAGTCCTTAAAAGGAGCCAGGCCCCCTTCGTTGTCTTTCTTATTTCAAGGTCTTATTTATTTATTGTAGAGGTTCTAGGGGTGGGGGTGGCTAAAGGAGGCTCTGGCTGCAGCTCACTCACAGTTCCTCTGACCTCCCTGCCATCCCCTTCCTCCTCCAGTACAGAATAGAAAGGAGGCATGGCTTAGTGCATGGGCCTTTGAATGCTAGTGCTGCAGCTATAAGCCAGCCAGTCAGCCCCACTGTAAAGCAACGTGGCTCTTTTCAGTGCCCTGGCCCAATGACATAATCCATGTATACTGCCTGACTGTGAGAAGACTTGATAATAGTTGCCCGCTCTCCTGTAGGTGTTGCTGTTTAACGTAGAGGAGGAGCGGCAGGCGCTAGTGGACACCCTTCGGGTGATTCTGAAGGAGAGTGGGCTGCACTTCCAGGAGTGGGAGCTTCGGGAGCAGGAGCTCATGAGGGCAGCTGTAACCCGGGAGCAGCGGAGCCACCTCCTGGAGACCTTTTTCAGGCACCTCTTCTCCCAGGTGTGCACATGGGATCGGATCTGTCCTTGTGTGTCTGACTGTGCTGATGTCTTTACCTGTGTGAGGACAGGAGGAGGGCTCCAGGGACAGCCATAAACCCTGAGTTCTATACTAGTAATCAACTTCATTGCTGTTTTTAGACAAGCCACCTGATCTGTCAGGCAGTGCTTGTGTTCCCTACCCTGCCTCCAGCTATGAGGCCCCTTTCAGGTGATACTCAGAAAGGGACTTCTCTGTGTGTGTATAACTTCTTTCTCCTCAGGACTGCTCAGCTTTCTGCCCCCACTCACCTCAAGCTTCTCAGCTGGTGACAGAAGCTCAGCTAACTATGGGCAGTGTGGAGACAATGACAGCCCCAGCTCCATGCCCTCCTTAGGGATTTGCAGCTGCCAGAGACTACCATTCATGCTAACTCATTGCTGTCAAGTTGGAATTGGCTAATAGCTGACCCTCCATTGAGTTGGTGAAGGCTTTGTATCGCACAGGAGGATATTGCCCATGTTTTCTCTTGAGAAGCAACTAGTAGATTTGAGCCACTAAAGACACCACCTTTGGGTTAGCAGTGCAACTCCTTATGGACTGGGCCACCAGAGTTCATTAATACCCATATGACTTGTTTTTGAAAGCTATTGAGTGGACGTAGGGAAACAAGATAGAGAGAAATGCCAGGGCTGCATTCAACACTTAGCATAGAAATAAAGGCGGCTTAGAAGCAGCCTAGCAGAGTAGAAGAATCATAAAAGATGTAAGAGAAACGCATCATGATCCTCCCACCGGAGGAGTTATATCCCACTAGGAAGATAGAGAGTGCATAGAATGAATGGCAAAGAATGAGTCTGCAAAAGTTATTGAGGAAATAGCTGATCTAGAAGATAAAGAAAAGTAGTGAGTTTTCAGGCTGGTGTAAGTTCTTGGTGAAGGTGACATTTGGTAAGATCTCAAAACCTGGAAAATTTTTCTCTTTTATTAATTTTAATGAAAGTTTACAGAGACTTAGGGTTTTCGGTCATTCATTTTTGCACTTTTCTCCCTGCCCATTCTCTCCCCCCACCCCCCAGTTCACTCCTCTCCTTATAAAGTAAAAGACAAACTTTTTCATTGCTATGCAATCCCTCCCCCAACTTCACGCCACTGTGCAGCCTTCATTCTGGACTCCTGTCATGACAATAATACCCAATCATATATCCGTTTAAACAGTTCTCTCCCTCATCTGTTTCAATACCGTATACATCATTCCTCCCCTCCTTCTCTGTCTTCCCTCTATCCCAATGTCAGCCCTGTTTTACAGCAGTGGCCCTATGCAATATTTGTCCCTTTGTGACAGATATATTTCACTCAGCATAATGTCCTCCAGGGTCATCCATTTTGCATAATATTTCATGAGTTTCTTAAAACTTGGGAAATTTTTTACTTAAGGGAAAAAAAGAAGAACTAAAAAGAAGTCATGGAAAGGAAAAACAAATCCTTGTGGAGAAAGAACACTGGCTGGGGACAGGTTTAATGAGGTCTTGTGAGTTGCTGTTAAGTCAGTTCCAACTGATGGTGACCTTAGGTATAAAAGAGCAAAACATTATCTGCTCTTGCGTCATTGTTATGATCACTGCTAATTTTTAGTACATTTTTGCTATTATATCAGCCTATCTCATTGAGGGGATTTCTTATTGTAACTAATCCTCTGATTTGCCAAACATAATCGCTTTTCTAACTATTAGGTTTATGAGGGGAAGCTACTGTTTAATGATCATCTATTATGTGCCAGACATATGTAGTATGTCATTTTATCTTCAAGCTAGCTGAACTTGAGCATGCATAAATAGGACGAGAGATCCAAGGAAGCTCAGGGTGGGTGGGTTGGCAGCACTTTTGAAAACTCTCATTTCAGGGCGTGGGCAAGATGTAGACATCACCAGGATGTTCAGGAGGCATCAGGGATGGGGCATTCCTGCTGTGTTCTGGGAGGAACCTCCAATCCCTTATATCTGCATAGTGCTCAGAGCTTCTCAGAACAGTTTCTACAAAACTTCTCTTGTTACTTCTCATAATAACTCTGTGGATTAGTAGGGCAGATGAGGAAATGAATCCCAGACAATTGAAAAAAGTTGCATGAGGTCACAATGCGAGCAGGTGATAAAGTTGGGACATGAACTTGAGCCCATTACCTCTAGCCCCAGATTCTTTCCACTAAAGCACCTTGTTATATAAACAACCAGGTTTCTTGGACTAATCAGGCTCAGGCCAGTGGCTCCCACTGACAGGCAGGAAAGACAGGCCCTGTGACTTTCATGCAGCCTGCCTCCTTCACTGTCTGTTCTCCCCACGCCAAGCAGCCTCTGAATAAACTGGAGATGCTCTGTGATGATGAGAATGTCTCTGTCCCAAGACAGAGCTTTTCCCCAGCATAGCCAAGGCCTGGCCTTAGAACTCTTTTGGATGTGAGTGACAGTAACCTATCTGTTCGTGCTAGCATTGGCAAAAGGAAATTGATTCTGAGAAAGCAGCAAATGAAACCTATCTCCCCTATGCCACCTCTGCTTTCTCTGTGCCTCTACTTCGTTCTTTCTCTGTCTCTGAGCACTTTGGAGGACAGTCCACACTGCTGAAGTTTTGTTGAGCCTGTCATGTTAAGACAGTAGACTGGCAAAGGCTTCTTAGTGTAACTTCTTAGAGTATTCCAAGATGCTGTCAGTTTCCTGAATTTCAGATCCCCAGTGTGGATGGCAAAACCTATAGCATGTTGCAATGCTAATCAAAAAGCCACATGACTGGTAGCTCAAATCTACCAGCTACTCTGTGGGGAGAATGATGTACATTCCCTTTCAATTAAGTTTGTAGCTCCAGAAACCTACAAGTTGCTCACTGTGAATCAGAATTTACTCAGTGGCACTGAGTTTGAGTGTGCACTTTTGAACTTAGGTTAAGTATGCATTCCTAGTCAAGTCAGTTAAGGTCGGGATTCTGTGAATCAAATGAGGCCCCTGGGACCCAGGACAAATGAGGCTGTGTTCAGGTAACAGTACAGACACCCCAAAAAGTGATTTCTGTAAGCCTCAATTAACCTTCAAGTCAAGAAAGCTTTGTATTCTTCCCTTCCCTCTGTCACTGCCCAAATGCAGGTGCTGGACATTAACCAGGCAGATGCTGGGACTTTGCCCCTGGACTCCTCACAGAAGGTTCGAGAGGCCCTGACATGTGAGCTGAGCAGAGCTGAGTTTGCCGAGTCTCTTGGCCTCAAGCCACAGGACATGTTTGTGGAGTCCATGTTCTCTCTGGCCGACAAGGATGGCAACGGCTACCTGTCCTTCCGGGAGTTCCTGGACATCCTGGTGGTCTTCATGAAAGGTGAGGATAGAGGGAGTGATTGTCCAGAAAAAGGATGGACGGGGACTGGAAACTCAGGCTAGAGAGTGGCTGACCTGGAGGTGAGGAGGCATGGAGGACAGATCTCCAGTCATGATCAAATATCTGGAAGCATTCTAATTATGGATCAGGAAGCAGGGAGACCCCTACTACTTACAGAATTGAATCACACTGGTTTGAGGTTTCTTCTAGTCAGAGGGTTCAGGCAGGTGAACTAGGGCTGTGCTCATGGGTTTCTTCTTGCAGGCTCCCCTGAAGAGAAGTCTCGCCTTATGTTTCGCATGTACGACTTTGATGGGAATGGCCTTATTTCCAAGGATGAGTTTATTAGGATGCTAAGGTTGGTTCTATGGCACAGCTGGGGGAAAGAGATGGGACATGAAAGAGGGAGAAAAGGGATAATGACTAGGGACTCTCTCCTTACCCTCATCTCCAGGAACTTAGAGTTAGTACAAGGCTTGGGGGTTCAGGCAGTCTGAACCCCTTCATATGGACTCTTAAGAGCTGGTGGGAATGGCCATTCTGGCACTCAAGTTCCTCCATAGGATCTGATCGTTCCTCTCTTTCCTAACCCCAGGTCCTTCATTGAGATCTCTAATAACTGTCTGACCAAGGACCAGCTGGCCGAGGTGGTGGAGTCCATGTTCCGGGAGTCAGGCTTCCAGGACAAGGAGGAGCTGACATGGGAAGACTTCCACTTCATGCTGCGGGACCACGACAGCGAGCTCCGCTTCACACAACTCTGCGTCAAAGGTGAGGTGATCTGGTTGATAAGGCAAACTTATCCAGTAGACAAACAACACAAAGGGCCTACATACTTCCAGGAAAACAGAAAAATGTTTAATTGTTTGAACATCAGAAGAAAACATATTCTGTGCAAGTGTGTGTGTGTCTATGTTGGGATGTGTGTGCCTATGTTGGTATTCCATTATATCCCCAGTGTAGTGTTCAGAAAATGTTTGAGTATGTGAAAAGCTACTTCTCTGTCCTTCCTCCTACTTCCTGTACAGCCTGTGTCTGACTCAAGTAGGAGGGAGCTAGAGTTGTGAAGAGTGCGGAGGTAGCAGGCACCGGGGGTTTGTCAGCTCTAGGCTGTTATGGTTTCTTCTCTGTTTAGGATTCTCGCTGAGACATGTTAAAACTAAACCCAGCCCCTCCCAACATCATGAGAACCTGAGGGGGCTGAACAGCCTCAGTAAGGGAGGGACAAGTGAGTCAAGACACAGATGGACATCTAATCAGGGCTTCTCCTGTTGAGGGGTTCAAAGAGTGAGGGGGAGTTGGTAGGGAGGATACTCAGCAGACCTGATTCTGCAGCTCTTTACCTTTCCCTGGCAGCCAGGGCGGTGTGGCATCTGGGCCTGAGGGCAGACACAGGGGCCTGGAAGTGAGCCCAGGCCACCGAGTTCCTGTAATATCGAGCCTCTGCTTGGGGTGGAGGTTAGGACAGTCTTAGGGAAGGAGGATTGGTAGAAGTTAACAGTGAGAATGGTTATGCTGACTTTTAACAGTTGTGACTTACTCTCCCAAGCTTTATTTAAAAAAATGTTAAACCTACAGATAAGATATAAGAATAGTGCAACTAACATCCTTATATCCTCCACCTAGATTTGCCATTTGTTAGCTTTTACCACATTTCCTGTTTGCTGAAAATAGAAATTTGAGAATTAGTGTCGATCTCTTTATTTTACTTTAAACACTATGGTTTTATGAAGTTCCGTTTTTAATCACTTTTTGGCCTCAGAGCTATAGACCAGGAATATGGTAAAGATGGTTTAGCTCTTGAAAGTGACCTCTAATTTCCCAGGCCTCTGTTGAGGACCCAGATTTACAACTCAGTCCTTCTCTGCCCCTTGGCTCTCAGCTCTCAGCCTAGACAGAAGAGCTGCTCTTCATTTTCCCCTTCACAATTTTATTATGTACATTTTCAAACTTAGAACATTTTATTCCTCATATACCCATTACCTACATTTAACTCCTGGGAAGGTTTTAGTTGGAGGGATTTAAGCATGGTTTCTGTGTCAAGATGGACTGAGCTGGTTACATCAATTTCCTGAACTCTACCCCATAAGCCTGATACCTGTTCCAGAAACGGGTCTGACTCAGGAGTTCCTTCATTTCAGGCCCTTCCCCGATCCCTGTGGTGGGTTCATCTCACACTGGGGACAAGGCCTGCGGGCCTGGAAATCCAAACAAGACTTCCATTGGTCAGAGATCCTGAGCAGTATTTCAACATGGGCAGGGGATGCTGTATGTTTGAGCCAGGCCAACCTGGGCCCTGGGTGCAGAACTTCTCTTGAGCACAGCTGTGCATTGCAGGGGTGGAGGTGCCTGAAGTAATTAAGGATTTCTGCCGGCGTGCCTCCTACATCAGCCAGGAGAAGCTCTGGTGAGCCCCCATCCAGGAAAGGTTGTGGCAGGGGGTGGGATTGAGGAGCTAGTCTTTATCTGTCCCAAATAACTGGAGTCAGGGCTGACACTAGCCAATTAGGAAAAGGTGACTTAATAAGAACAGAACTGGCTGGCTTTCAATGTTCACTTGCTGCCTGGGTCAGATGCCCATGTAAGGGATACGGCCACATGTGATGGCCTTTAGCTGCACTCCAAGGGCCTGCCCAGCTCACTTCATTGTTGGGTCTTTGTGGGAATGGCTGCTGTCCTCTGGCTGAGCAATTGGACTCTTCCTTGACAGTGTGGGTCTAGAATAACAGGGGCATCAAAAGACAGTGGCTAGGTGGTCAACATTTTTCTCTCCTGCCATTTTCATTCCAGTCCTTCTCCCAGAGTGAGTGCCCGCTGTTCCCACAACAACCTGGAGGCCGAGGCAACACTACAAAGACTGCAGTGCCCCATGGACACAGACTCTCCCCAGGAGATTCGACGGAGGTTTGGCAAGAAGTAGGTCTGTTCTTCCCCTTAACTCCAGGCAGTTCATCCCATTACTTCAGTAATGAAGCATGCACTGATTACTTTGTGTCAGGCATTGTGCTGGACATGTGGGTGAGAGCAGAATGGATAATCCCTACTCAAGCATTTCCCAATCTGGTGAGATAGACTTGTGCATTGCTAATTACAATGTCCCAATAATAGACCTTATAGCAGAGGTGAGTGTAAGGGGCCCTGGAGCCCAGAAAAAGCCAATACCTTTGCCTGAGAGTTCAGGGAAGGCTTCCTGGAGGAAAGATCCTTTGAGCCTTCAGCAAAGCCTGATGGAAATTGGGAGCTACAGGCCTGGGAAGCGAGAGGGCTGTTCTAGGTAGGCTCTAGGCTAGATGGATGAGATGAGCTCCCCTATATGATTACTTGGCAAGCCACTCCTCACTATTTAAGGGAGCTCTGGTAGCTTCAACAAGACCTTCAACAAGGAGGACACTTGCATTTAAGGCCAAGCCCTTGTCTCCATTTTGGGAAGTGGGTGAAGTGACTGGACTCTGTAAGATGGGCTTTCTTGTTTTGGTTGAGGGTCATTGTGCAATGTTTTTTGGTTTTTGGTTTGTTGGAGTTTTTATTATTATTATGAAAGTCTCTTGTTTAGAGTCAACAAAACCTTCCCGAGGGCCCTTACATTTAATAAATTTGGTTGGAAGGATTCTCTTTAATCCTTTGCTGCTATATTTTGGAGTAACATTCTTCTAAGTCATACAACACTCTTTTGTCAATTTGCTGTGTTGAGGTAATTTGGGTTTGCTGTGATGCTGAACCTTTTACCGTTGGGGTCTCAAATGCCATAATGGCTGCCCAAGGTGGACAGTGTTTGGTGGAGCTCCCAGTTTTTAGACAGGTTGGGAAGCAGGAGTGGCATCCACTTCCATAACCACATGCCTCTGGAAACTCTATGAACTTGGAGAAACGATAGTCATAGAAAGGCCTCAGGTCTTTTGTTCATGGAGTCGCTGAATCGTGTACTACTCGATGGCAATCAACAACTGGTAGCTTAAGAGTTGAGCTGCCAACCGAAAGGCCTACAGTTCGAATCCACCAGCTGCTCCCGGGAGAAAGATGGACTGTGTCCTCCATTGTGATTAAGTGTCTTTAAAAACCCACTGGAGGGTCAACTATGGGTCCGGTTTAGACTCAGCAAGGCACACAACAACAACAACAGGATAGCCCTTGGGGTCTGAGCTCTGCGTCCCTTCCTCCGGTGCTCCACTGGCGCTGGCTCCGCTGGGGTTGTCACCAAGCCGCTCTGTCTCGCAGGGTAACGTCGTTCCAGCCACTGCTGTTCACCGAGGCGCACCGAGAGAAGTTTCAGCGCAGTCGCCGCCACCAGACTGTGCAGCAGTTTAAACGCTTCATTGAGAACTACCGGCGCCACATTGGCTGTGCGGCGGTGTTTTACGGCGTCGCCGGGGGGCTGTTCCTGGAGCGGGCCTACCGTGAGTGACAAGTGACAGCCTTGGGGGTGGAGCCTCCGGTGGGACAGGGCAGGTCCGGGGCGTGGCCTGAACTTAGTGAAGGTCCTGGGAACCGGGTGACATTGAGTGGCAAGCAGCCTGGTGGGCGTGGTCACCCTCAGTGCTTGGGACGTGACCTCGCTGAGCCCCTCTCCCCTTCTGCACTGACCCGCCCTCCTGCCTGCTCCCCCTCCGCAGACTATGGCTTTGCTGCTCACCACAAGGGCATCACAGACACCACACGCGTGGGCATCATCCTGTCTCGGGGAACGGCGGCCAGCATCTCCTTCATGTTCTCCTACATCCTACTCACCATGTGCCGCAACCTCATCACCTTCCTGCGGGAGACCTTCCTCAACCGCTACATCCCCTTCGATGCTGCTGTGGACTTCCATCGTCTCATTGCCTCCACTGCCATCGTCCTCACAGGCAGGGCCTCCTAGGATTCTTTCCTTATTCCCATCCTTGCTGGCTTCCCTTCCTCTGAGTGCCAGCTCCCTGTCTTTTTGTCCTTTTGACACTGTTCTTTCTGGCTGGTCCATCCCCTTTGGACTTTTCCCCTCTTGCAAGTTGTCTTTTCCTTTCCATCTCTGCCTGGATGTGTTAGATGCACCCTCAATAAGGATGAAATTAATCAAGGCAATTGTGAAGTACATCCAGGAGCCCCTCATTGCCAAATGCTGCCTCAGCCCTGGCTTTCAAGGCCACTTCACCAGCCTCTAGTTGACTCGGTTCTAACACCTTAGAATGAGCACATAATATGTTACCTCTCTGGGAGGATGTTTGTGTTTTTACAATATGACTCTGCGAGAAACCAGAAGAAGGAACTCATAAGGTTATGTTCATGTATGGTGTGGGTATATGGAGTTTAGGGGGGAAGGACCATGAGACTGTTTCGAGATCAGAAGTCCAGAACCTTAGGCCTTTTTTGCAAGCCCCTGTGTTTGTCCCTGGTCCTCCACTTTGAGCTGAATGGGTTAAGCCACACACACTGGACTGCTCTAGGCTCACCACCCTGGCCTGTCTTTCTTAGTCTTACACAGTGCTGGCCACGTGGTGAATGTGTACCTGTTCTCCATCAGCCCTCTCAGTGTCCTGTCCTGCCTCTTCCCTGGTCTCTTCCACAATGATGGGTGAGTATGAGTGTGAGAGAGAGAGAGAGAGAGAGAGAGAGAGAGAGAGAGAGAG